GCTGACCGAAATAAGTCAGGCAGAGAAGGACAAATATCATATGTTTGCACGTATAGGAGGATTAGGAGGAACTTAACGGAGGACCATGGGGGAGAAGAAGGGGGGAAATGGTGGGGGAAAGGGAGAGAGGCAAACCACAAGAGGCTCTTGAATGCTGAGAACTAAGGACTGATGGGTGGGGGGGAGGGGAGAGATGGGCATGGAGGGGGGCACGTGTGGGGATGAGCACTGGGTGTTATATGGAAACCAACCTGACAACAAACTATTTGTAAAAAAAAAAAAAAAAAAGAGTCTGGGTTTTTGGTCTTTTTTTCTTTATTCATTTGTTTCTTTATTTCCACATATGAGTGAAATCATATGATATTTGTCTTTCTTCCCCAGAAGTCTGATTTTCTTTTCTTTTCCATAGCTTACTTTAAAAAAATACAGCATATAATATACAAAATGTGCATTAAGCAACTATTTATGTTATTGGTAACGCTTCTGGTCAACAGTAGGCTATTGTTACATGTAGATTTTCAACTGCGTGGGGGTCAGTGTCCCTAATCCCTACATTATTCAAGGGCCAAGTGTACTAAATACCCAGTGCTGGAGAAGATGTGGAGCAATATTTCATACACTGCTGGTGAGAATGTAAAAGAGCACAAACACAGCGCAAGAGACTACTTTCTTAAAAGTCTAAACATAACTTACCATACATCCCAACAATCATACACTTGAATATTTATTGTAAGAGAAATGAAAATTTACGTTCACACAGAGCCCTGTATGCAGATTTCATACCATCTTTATAACAGTTGAAACCAGGAAATCTGGAGTGAAGGGATAGGGGTACCTGAGTTGCTCAGTTAAGCACTGGATTTTGGCTCAGGTCATGATCTCATGGTTCATGAGTTTGAGCCCTGTATCAGGTGAGTTTGAGCCACACATCAGGTGAGCACAAGACCCACTTTGGGTGAACTCATGCTGTGCATCCAGTGAGCCCCACTTCTCTCTCTCTCCATCTCTCTCCTTTCTGCCCCTCACTCACTTGCATTCTCTCTCAAATAATTTTTAATTTAAAAAATTAAAAAGAGTAAAGGGATAAACAAACTGATCGTGTATTACTAATAAAATGTATCAGTAATGACACATTTGTTTATGTGTATTACTCAAAATAAAAAAACCATCCAGCAACTCAAATAAGTCTTCAGAGCAATTTTTGAATGACAAAAACATCAAAACCTTACATGCTCCCTATTAATAAAAAAATATAAATTTGCATATGGTCAATATTGTACTTTTATCAAAATTATAAAATTCTATAAATACAACATATCTATAAAATATATAAAATCCAGTTATAAAAATGATTTTTATAGGATTCATAGAATTACATGATTATACTGATGGGAAATGTAAGTGGTTGCAGGAGGTAGGTTTGGATATGGACATAAAACGGTGTAAGAGAATCTGTGTTGATTATACTTTTACATCCTGGTTGTGGTAGTGATTTACATGGCTCTATACATATAAAAAAGCTTCTTAGAATTACAACCTAAAAAAATAAAACAAGACAAAAACCATGAAAATCTAATGAAATCCAAATAAGGTTAATGGTTTAGTTAACTGTATACTACCAATGTCATTTTCCTGGATTCAATAATAAAATGCGGTTTACATACTGGGAGACATTGTAAAAGATACTAGGGAAATCTCTGGACTATCTTGGAATTTCTTTTAAGATAATATGATTTCAAATTACACATTTTCAAAATAACTTGGGGGGGGGGCGCCTGGGTGGTTCAGTTGACTGAGCATCCAACTTTGGCTCAGGTCATGATCTCAAGATTGGTGAGTTCGAGCCCCATGTCAGGCTCTATGTGGACAGCTCAGAGTCTGGAACCTACTACGGATTCTGTGTCTCCTCTCTCTGCCCCTCCCTGGCTTATGCTCTGTCTCTCTCTCAAAAGTAAACAAACATTAAAAAAATTTTTTTTCTAAACTTAGAAGGTGGTTTTATAAAATATCTGGTCATACTTATAAACTTAAATAAGTACAAACATCTGCTATCTTATAAATTTAAAGTTTCCTTCTAAAAGAATTCAATATACTAAATTTATAAATCATATAATACAGGGTAGTCCTAGAACACTCCATAGAACAATAAATATTAATCAGTGATGAGGAAAGCAGACTAATTTTTAAAACTAGGAATTACCTTAAAACTAGGAATTACTAACAAGGCAACTAGAAAAGGGTTCCCAAAGTATTATCTGAAAATGCACATCAGGTGAATTATCTGATCTATACAATGAGGTCAGACTTGTAATATTTAAAAGCACTCAAATAGGGGCACCTGAGTGGCTCAGTCAGTTGAGCGTTCAACTTCGGCTCAGGTCAGAATCCCACGGTTTGTGAGTTTGAGCCCCGCATCAGGCAGAGTCTCTGCTGTCAGCACAGAGCTGACTTTGGATCCACTCCCCTCCCCCCATTCTGGTCCCTCCCCCACTGGTACTCTCTCAAAATAAACATTAAAAAAATTGGGGGGGCACATGGGTGGCTTCATCAGTTAAGCATCTGACTTCAGCTCAGGTCATGATCTCACCGTCTGTGAGTTCAGGCCCCGTGTCCGGTTCCGTGCTGACAGCTCAGAACTTGGAGCCTGCTTCAGATTCTGTGGCTCCCTCCCTCTGCCCCTTCCCCACTCATGTTCTGTCTCTCTCTCAATAATAAATAATCATTTTAAAATATTAAAAAAAAATTTTTAAAGGCATTCAAATATTTACGATTTTCACAGGACTTCATTCCTTCACAAGTTCTCTGATATCCGACTAAAGGTGTTCTACATTTAGCATATTCAGAGAGTTTTAATTTCTATATGATTTCCTGACAAAAAGAGGCAGGATGTATCACTGACATCCTTTCATATGTATATATTGTCCTCCAAAAGTTTTTCTCCAGTGTGGATCTGACACTCACTGAGGTCTTCTTTCTGGGTAAAGGCTTTCCCATGGTTATGGTCATCATATATTTTTTTCAATCGTATTTCTACGAACAATAAGCTCCCTGATGATCTATTGTGATCCCTAATAACAAAGTCTACCTTCCCACTGAAGGCCTTCCTAGTCTCTGCAGTCACAGAATTTGTCTCAGTATCTACTTCTCAGAACATAACGAAGCTAGGAAGTTTTGCTCAAGGTATCTCCACACTGAATGTATGAGTTTTTCCAGCATGTTTTCATTGACAGAAAATATGAGGTAAGGATCACAGAAGGCACCACATTCACAGTATTCACCAGGTTTACCACCTCCTGGACCAGTTCTTTAATCTCCCCAGGGCACACATGAAAACAGGCAGGACCACAATTACCTTCCAATCTACTGGAAACACTGATGTTTAACGAAGTCTTGGTTGCCACAGAAGGCATTTCCACAATCCCATTCAAAGGGCTTTTGTTTTACAGGAGTTCACTTGTAAATAACGAGCTGTGACTCTGTGTTAAAGGAATTTCCAACTTGACTGAATCTACCCATTCCCCTTGTGTGCATTTTCTTATGTTTCACAAGATTTGACAAGTGGGAGAAGGCTTTCTCACAATCACTGCATGCATAGGGTCGTTCTCCTGTGTGAGTTCTTTGATGGACATTGAGTACTGACTTTGTGGTGAAGGCTTTCCCACATTCACTGCACTCATAGGGTTTCTCCCCCGTGTGAATTCTCTGATGGGTAATGAGACCGTATTTGTGAGAATAGGATTTGCCACACTCAGTACACACAAAGGGAGTCTTTCCTGTATGACATCTCTCATGTTGTATGAGGCAGATCTTCTGGCTGAAGGATTTACCACACTCCCTGCATTCATAGGGTTTCTCACCTGTATGAGTTCGCTGATGGATAATGAGGGTGCGCTTTGTGGTGAAGCCTTTTCCACATTCATTACATAAGTAAGATTTCTCTCCTGTGTGAGTTCGCTGATGGATAATAAGGGTGCGCTTTGTGGTGAAGCCTTTTCCACATTCAGTGCACATGTAAGATTTTTCCCCAGTATGAGATCGCTGATGCACAATGAGATTACTCTTCACGGTGAAGCCTTTCCCACATTCACTGCATATATAGGGTTTCTCTCCGGTATGAGTACGCTGATGTACAACAAGATAGCGCTTCATGGTGAAGCCTTTGCCACATTCAGTGCATATATAGGGTTTCTCCCCAGTGTGAGTTCGCTGATGCACAATGAGATTGCTCTTCACGGTGAAGCCTTTTCCGCATTCATCACAGACATAAGGTTTCTCTCCACTATGAGTTCGCTGATGTGCAATCAGATAACGTTTCATGGTGAAACCTTTTCCACACTCACCGCACATGTAAGATTTCTCTGCTGTATGGGTTTGCTGAGGCACAGGGAGACTGCTCTTCACACTAGTGCCTGCCCTGTAGTCATTCATTATACAGACTTTGCCTTGTGCAGGAGTTTTCTCATGTTTAGTGAACATGACATTTCTGGAGAAGGATTTCCCACACGGATCACACCCATGGGGCTTCTCTCCTCTATGGCCACCCTCATGATTAAGAAGCTGGGACTTCCTGATGCAGGTTTTCTCATCTTCGATGCATGCTTGGGAGTTCTCTATGTTAGGAGTCCTCTGATGCTTAAAGACTTGGAATTTAGTGCTGATATGTTTCGCACATTCAGGGAATTCAATTCCAGCATACAAACGTTCATGATTACCATGTAGAAAAGATTTCTCATCTCTATTAAACTCAATGGCCTTCTTTATTTCATATCTTTTCTTCTGGTTAACTAAACTTGATTTCAAAGCTTTTCTACATAAGTCAAACACATGATTTTGTGTCAAGGCAAAATGTATTTTGCTCAGGTGAACAGCATTTCTAAATGCATTCTCTTCCCTGTACTGTTGCATGCTCTTCAGAAATCTGTGGTTTTGAGAGTGCTCTTGCATATGACTGTCATCCTTCCCAATTCCTAGGTAAAAAGAGAATAACAAATTCTCTTATGAGAACAGTATGGAATACAAGTGTTTTAAAGATGACATAGTGGGGATGGCTCTTTATTATCGATCATATGATCCCAGTTTATATTTTTTAATTTTTTCAACGTTTATTTATTTTTGAGAGACAGAGAGAGACAGAGTGTGAGCAGGGGAGGGACAGAGAGAGGGAGACACAGAATCTGAAGCAGGCTCCAGGCTCTGAGCTGTCGGCAGAGAGCCTGATGTGGGGCTTGAACCCATGAACCATGAGATCATGACCTGAGCCGAAGTCGGATGCTTAACCAACTGAGCCACCCAGGTGCCCCCACGTGATCCCAGTTTAAAAGAAATTTATAAAAATGTAAGATAAAATAAATGGCAGATCGAAGGAGAGAAAAGGAGCATATTTAACGCTAAACACCCACAAAGAAAAAGAGTTATCAACTGGGGATGGAGTATGAGGAAGACCTGTTTAGATATCCTTAGACACCCTCACAGCTGTGACACCTTGTCTTCATGACTAGAATAGAATCTCCTCAGCCATTCCCCTTGCTGGTTCTCACTCACTTACCTGCACGGGTTCTATCTTGGATTTCATCCTCTGTCATCCATGCTTCATCTCTGTGTTCCAACTTGGAGACTGCATCTGGTTTCGTAGCTTGACACCCTGTTCATGAGAAACGACAGAAGACTTAGATGCTTAATGACCTGGGGTACAGTAGGTTGAGATGGGAAAATATTACACTCTAGACACAAAACAATTTCTCACATGCAAAGATTCTCTTTCAGGATAGAAAAGACTATACTGCTTTGTTTGGGGTCGAGATAGGGGACCAAACATTGGACTCTTCTCAAGACCACAGTGATGGCAAAGCTATCACTGAGTGATAGAGGAAATGCCAGTGCCCAGGCTCTTCTAAGTGACACAGGGAAGCTGTCCTCACCCACTGACACCAGGTTCCTGTAGTTCTCCAACATCACATCCCGGTACAGGTCCTTCTGGGCGGGGGCCAGGAGCTGCCACTCCTCCCGGGAGAAGTCCACGTGCACGTCCTCTAGTGTCAGCGATCCCTGTAACAACATGGTCCTGTTTAATATAATGTGAATTACTTTTATTAATATGGAAGCATGAGGGAAGCTGTAATCAACACAGCCTCATCTATATATGTTGTTCTTTTTTGAGAGAGAGATGGTGCAAGTGAGCAAGGGACAGATAGAGAGAGAGAGGGAGAGATAGGTAGAGGAAGAGATAGGTAGAGGGAGAGAGGGAGAAGCGGGGCTCACCTGAAGCAGGGCTCATGTCTACCCAAAGCCCAATGCTGGGCTCAAGCAAGACTCAAGCTCACCCAAAGCCTGATGCATAGCTCAAGTTCACCTGATGTGGGACTCGAACTCAGGAACCGTGAGATCATGACCTGAGCTAAAGGCAGAGGCTTAACCAACTGAGGAACCCAGTCACCCATATTTACTTTTCTTAAATGCATTTTAGTAGAAGTAAAATGCTATCTTTTTATATATTTCAGCACCATTGTTTTTTTTCATTTATTTTTCCTTCAAATTTTTATTTCAATTCTAGTTACTTAACATACAGTGCAATACTGGTTTTAAAAATAGAATTCAGTGGTTCATCATAGGGCGCCTGGGTGGCTCAGCTGGTTGAGCATCCAACTCTTGATTTTGGCTCAGGTCATGATCTCATGGTTCAGGAGTTTGAGCCCATACTGGGCTTTGTGCTGATAGCATGGAGCCTGCTTGGAATTCTCTCTCTCCTTTCTCTCTGCCCCTCCCCTGCTTGCTCTCTATGTATCAAAATAAGCAAAAAAACTTAAAAAGAATTCAGTGGTACATCACTTACTTATAATACCTAGTGTTTATCATAACAAGTGCCCTCCTTAATATCCATCACCCATCTAGCCCACCTCCCAACCTCCCTCCATTAACTCTCAATTTGTTCTCTATTCTTAAAAGTCTCTTATGGTTTGGGCTGCCTGGGTGGCAGAGTCAGTTGAATGTCTGACTTCGGGCTCAGGTCATGATCCTGTGGTCCGTAAGTTTAACGGGCTGTATGCTGAAAGCTGAGAGCCTGGAACCTGCTTCAGATTCTCTATCTCTGCCCCTCTCCTGCTCGCACTGTCTCTCTCTCTCTCAAAAATAAACATTAAAAAAAATTAAGAGTCTCTTTTGGTTTGTTTCTTGCTCTTTTCTCCCCGCCTTCCCATATGTTAACCTGTTTTGTTTCTCAAATTCCACATGTGAGTAAAATCATATGGCCTTTTTCTGATTATTTTGCTTAGTACGATATACTCTAGCTCCATCCATGTGGTTGCAAATGATAAGATTTCATTCTTTTTGACTGCCGACTAATATTCCATTGCATATATATACACCACTTCTCTATCCATTCATCATTGATGGACATACTTTCTTTCCATACTTTGGCTATTGTTGATAATGCTCCCATAAACATTGGGGTGCAGGTACCCCTTCAAAACCTTATTTCTGTATCCTTCGGATAAATACCTAGTAGTGCAATTGCTGGGTCATACAGTAGTTCTATTTTTAACTTTTTAAGTAATATCCATACTGTTTTCTAGAGTTGCTGTGCCAGTTTGCATTCACATCAACAGTGTAAGAGGGTTCCCCTTTCTCTGCATCCTTGCCAACACCTGTTGTTTCTTGTGTTGTTATTTTAGCCATTCATTCTGACAGGTGTGAGGTGGTATCTCATCATGGTTTTGATTTGTATATCCCTGCTGATGAGTGATGTTGAGCAGCTTTGCATGTGTCTGTTAGCCATCTGGATGCCCTCTTTGGAAAAGTGTCTATTCAGGTCTTCTTCTCGTTTCTTAACTGGATTATTTGTTTTTTGGCTGCTGAGTTTGATAAGTTCTTTATAGGCTTTGGATACTAACCTTTATCAGATATGTCACTTGCAAATATCTTCTCCCATTCCATAGGCTGCATTTTAGTTCTGTTGGTTGTTTCCTTTGCTGTGCAGAAGCTTTTTATCTTGATGAGGTCCCAATAGTTCATTTTTGCTTTTATTCCCCTTGCCTCTGGAGATGTGTCTAGTAAGAAGTTGCTATAGTCAAGGTCAAAGAGGTTGCTGCCTGTGTTCTCTTCTAGGATTTTGATGGCTTCCCGTCTCACATCTAGATCTTTTTTCCATTTTGAGTTTATTTTTGTGTATAAGAGAGGGTCCAGTTTCATTCTTCTGCATGAAGCTGTCCAGTTTCTCCAACACCAGTTGTTGAAGAGGCTTCCCCCCGCCCCACTAGATATTCTTTCCTGCTTTGTCAAAGATTAGTCAACTACATAAGCACCATTTTCAAATACTAAAAATAGGCAAATAACACCAGGACAAATAAAATATTTTTACTTTACAAGAAAATTTCACAGCCAATATGAGCATCAACCATGACTAGATTCCACATCCAGAGTTTACAACATAGTGTTTTTAGTAAATGTAAAAGAATAAGAGAAACCATATGAGGTATAGCTATTACAAAAAAGACCATTAAAGTTGATTAGGAAAATATGGGGGGAGAAGAGAAACTTCCAATAGACAAATATACATACGCATACATCTATCAGTGGACAGAAAAACAGCATATCAGATACACTGTAGTAAGCTGGAATGTAACTGAAGAAATCACCAAAAATGCAGCATAGAAGAGAAGGAAAACATAAGGATGATATTAATAAACACACAGTGTCAAAAGATCTGATGTATACCTGATCTTATAGTTTCTCAAAAATAAAAGGGAGTAATGAAGAAGCAGCATCCAAAGCCTAAAAGCTGAAAAACTCCCAACTAATTAAATACTCCAAACCTCAGATTCAGGACTCCCAATAAACTCCAAGCAGGAAGTCTATCTTCCTCAACACATTAGACTAAGACTATGATACGCCAAATGCAAAGGGAAACTATAAAAGCATCCAGAGACAAAAGCCAGATCACCTACAGCAGAAACAACCAAATTCAGAAAAGAATGTAATAGTTCTTTTTTTTTTAACTTTAAAAAAATGGTTTTTTGAGAGAAAGAGAGAGAGTCTGAGCAGGGGAGGTACAGAGAGGAGACACAGAATCCAAAGCAGGCTCCATGCTCTGACCTGTCAGCACAGAGCCCGACACGGGGCTTGAACCCACGGACTGCAAGATCATGACCTGAGCTGAAATCGGACGTTCAACCAATGGAGCCACCCAGGTGCCCACGTAATAATCTTTTGAAAGTCTTGACTTTTTGTGCCCAAATGGCCAGGCATGGAGGCCATTTGATATTGCAACAAAGGACTCTCCTTGTGAAGTGTGGACAGCACTGTCTACTCCTAGTCACAATGACAGTATTTAACACTACTGCCAACCAAGGAAGCTCACCTATACCTCAGTGCCCAAAGTTTTCACTGAGGCTTCATGATTTATGCATGATTTACTGAAACACAGACTACATCACTGAACTCAATCTCCAGGTTCCTTCCCCTTCTGGAGGTCACCTGGCTCAAAGCCATAAATCATATGGTTGGTCTTTCTGGCATGGACAGTCCCACCTTGAGGTACCTCATTAGCACAAACAATGTAGGGCCTACATGAGTCACTTCATTGACATAAACTAGAAAGAGTGGTCCCCGTGGCCCAAGATGAATAACAAAGACACTCCAATCACACAGGTAATTCCACGGGTTGAGAGGTCACCTCATACAATTATGCATGTGACTTCCATCTTGCTAACAGAACCTGTCCTTTGATGACTTTTATGTAACAACATGGGCATGCTGGGGAGACCCATGTGGCAAGGAACTAAAAAGTAAGAATCTTATATGAGCAGACAGGTAGGAACTGAGGATCTCATTTGATCACCCTTCTGGAAATGAATCCTGCCAACAACCCAGTGAGTTTACAAGTGCATCCTTCCCCACCTGAGCCTCCAGATGAGACACCACCCTGGCTTACCTCGATTACAGGCTCAGGAGAGAGTGTGAAACAAAGTACCCAGCAGTGACATGACAAAAAATATTTGGCTTTTGGCCCTGGTTCCAAGTACACAAAACTCTGAAAATGCCTACAATCTCCAATGTTAAGTGTTTTTTGTGTGCTAATGAGATGACTGGTAGCCTAGGCCATCACAATGCTGCAGGATGGAGGTCGGATGCCAAAAAAACAAACCAATGATTACAGGGTTGGAACTTTTGGCCCCACCTCCCAACCTCCACAGAGGGGAGAAAGGTTGGAGATGGAGTTTAATCACCAATAGCCAATAATTCAATCCATCATGCCCACATAATGAAATCTTCACAAAACCCCCAAAACTACAGGTTCAGCAAGCTTCCAAGTTGGTGAGCACATCGAGGTCCTGGAAGGGTTGCAATCCCCCACACTCTGTCGTGAGAAAGGAACCATGGAAACCATGATTTAGGAGCACCTGGGTGGCTCAGTCAGTTAAGCATCCAACTTCATTCAGGTCATGATCTTTTTTTTTAATAGTTTGTCAGGTTGGTTTCCATATAACAGTGCTCATCCCCACAAGAGCCCTCCTCCATGCCCAACACCCCCCTTCCCCACCCCCATCAGTCCTCAATTTGTTCTCAGCATTCAAGAGTCTCTCGTGGTTTGCCTCCCTCTCTCTCCCCCACTATTTTTCCCCTTCTTCTCCCCCATGGTCCTCCGTTAAGTTCCTCCTAATCCTCCTATACGTGCAAACGTATGGTAGCTGTCCTTCTCTGCCTGACTTATTTCGCTCAGCATCACACATTCAGGTCATGATCTTGCAGTTCGTGAGTTCAAATCCCACATCAGGTTCCCCAATGACAGCTCAGAGCCTGGAGCCTGCTTTGGATTCTGTGTCTCCCTCTCTCTCTGCCCTTCCCCCACTCACACTCTGGTCTCTCTCTGTCTCAAAAAAACAAACACATTAAAAAAAATTAGAGCCCATCAGTCAGTGCAGGAGACAAAGACTTGTGATTGGCATCTGAAGTGGGGGCATTCTTGCAGGTCTGCAATCTTAAATTTGTGTAACCAGTTGCTAACCACAGGTACTCAGTGTCAAGAACCGGAGAAGTGGTGTTGGAAGCGATCACATATTTGGCATCAGGAGGGAAAAAAACCTCATATGGTGTCAAAAGTATTTTGAGTAAAAACAACACAGTCTAGCTAAATCATGCTAAAATTACTGACCACAGAAAATATGAGATTAAAAAATATGTGCTGTTTGAAGTTGCTAAGAGTTGGAGTAATTTGTCAGGCAGCACAGAAAAACTCACTTCTGTTTTCCTTTACGCGCTCACACAGAACACCTCTGTGACCAGATGTGTGGCTTTCCCACACCACGATATTCTGGCACCAACCACCTGGAGTCAGCAGAGACCCCACAGGATAAGGGCTTAGTCCCACAAGACTGCCCCCTGCTTTAGATGCCAATAGCAAGTAGGGGGTCTCCAGGTAACACACTGTCCAAACTGGCTAAGAATCAGAGGTTCCCACAACTTCTCCATAGATTCAATCTTTTGCTAAAACAGCTCACAGAGCTCAGAGAAACATTTACTTACATTTACTGGTTTATTATATTATAAAGGACATTATACAAGATACAAATGAGGAGAGCCTGGCTGGCTCAGTTGTGCAACTCTTGATCTTGGGGTCATGAGTTTGAGCCCCACATGTGGCATAAAGTTTACTTAAAATTTTTTTTAAAAGAATACAAATGAACAGCCAGATGAAGAGGTACCCAGTGAAAGGTCTAGAAGGTCCCACACCCACAAGCTTCTGTCCCTGTGGTGCTGGGGTATGCCAACCCTCCCAGAATGTAGAGGTGTCTACTAATCCAGAGGCTCTGCGAACCCTGTATTTTGGGGATTTTTATGGAGACCTCACTGCATGGGCATGATCTAATAATTGTTTACTAATTCATTATCCAGTACCTCTCCCCACTCTGGAGGATGGTGGGTTGGGCTACAAGGTCTATGCTTTTAATCATGGCTTGGTCTTTCTAGTGACCAGCCCCCACAGGGGACATACAGGAGCCCACACCAAGAGTTACCTTATTAGAACAAAAGATGGTCCTATCACTCAGAAAATTCCAAGGGATTTAAAAGCTCTGTGACAGACATTCCTATCACCCAGGACATTATACAGGTTTCAGAAGAACTCTTTTGTCACGAGCCAGGGTAAAGGGCTAAATATTAACAGGAAGCAGGGGCAGAGATTATATGTTTTTACTTCACAGCACCAATAGTTAATGAATATGGGACATAAACTTTAAAAAAAAGAACTTATGAAAAAACAGAAAAAATGTGGAATGTTTACAGCAGAAGTAAAAAGCCATGAAGAAAAACACTAACAAATTTTAATTTGAATACAAAATACAACTTCTGCATGGAAGAAGATATTAAGAACAAAAGCTAAAAGACAAGAAGATTCTAGAAAAATATTTGCAACATATAAAAGGATCAACTTACCACAAGATAAACTATACATCAGTAAGATAAATTTTTTTTAACTTTTTAAATGTTTATTTATTCATTTTTAAAATTTTTAAATGTTTTATTTATTTCTGAGGGAGAGAGACAGGCAGCGTGAGCAGGGGAGGGTCAGAGAGAGAGGGAGATACAGAATCTGAAGCAGGCTCCAGGCTGAGCTAGCTGTCAGCACAGAGCCCGACAAGGGGCTCAAACCCACTAACCATGAGATCATGACCTGAGCCGAAGTCGGAAACTTAACTGACTGAGCCACCCAGGCGCCCCAATGTTTATTTTTGAGAGAGACAGGGTACAAGCAGGGAAAGGGCAGAGAGGGAGGGAGACACAGAATCCGAAGCAGGCTCCAGGCACTGAGCTGTCAGCACAGAGCCCAACGCGGGGCTCAAACCCAAGAACTGGGAGATCATGACCTGAGCAATGTCAGATGTTCAACCAACTAAGCCATCCAGACACCCCTAAATTAACTCATTTTAGATCCTACCTTATACAGTAGGTGCATTGTCATTAACCCCATTCGACATGAGAAAACCCATGCGTGTGATGAGTACCTGACCTGTGCAGTCACACAGCTAGCAATTGGCTCCAGAACACTGTTAACCATGAGGCTACACTGACCATGAGCTGGAACAGTCAACTGGACAGCAATGGGAAGTGTACATTAAAATGTGAAATGACCACACCCCATAACTGATTTCTCTGTAGCCATCCTGCAACAAACACTGATATAATTTCACAAAAAGCCATTAACAAGGCCATTCATTCTCATGGTTTGTAAGAACAAAAATATGTAAATATTCATCAATAGGTGAATGATTTCATTGTTACTCCTGCAACATCTGGAGTTCACTGCTGTCAGGTAATCAACACAAAAGCTGGCTTGGAGGCACCAGCGGGTAAAAAATGCCAACACCCTAAAAACAGCGTGAAGCGAGTACGTTGACGATAACTATGGTTCACCCAGCAGAGGCGGTTCACATACAAGTATTAGTAGCAAGGTGTACTGAGCTACTATCAGTGAAGGCTGCATGATTTCACCCTGAATCTATTAAATTCAGAGTGAACTTCAAAACATATGTGTGAGTATACTATTTATCATTTCAAAAATCAAATATTTCATTTCCATCAAAATCCGAAGTTTTGGTTTTTTTATTTTTAATTTAATTTTATTTTTTTTTTATTTCTAGGAGAGAGAGAGAGACAGCGTGAGCAGGGGAGGGTCAGAGAGAGGGAGTCACAGACTGAAACAGGCTCCAGGCTCTGAGCTGGCAGTCAGCACAGAGCCCGACGCGGGGCTCGAACCCACGAACTGCGAGATCATGACCCAAGTGAAAGTTGGATGCTTAACCGACTAAGCCACCCTGGAGCCCCAGTTTTGGGTTTTTTTAAACGTTTATTTATGGAGAGTGCACATGTACATGTGCGGGGGAGGGGCAGAGAGAGAGAGCGAGAGCAAGAATCCCAAGCAGGCTGCGCCCTCAGTGCAGAGCCCAACGTGGGGCTCAATCTCATGACCATGAGATCACGACCTGAGCCGACACCAAGAGTCGGAGGCTTAACTGACTGAGCCACCCAAGTGCCCTAGTTTGTGTTTTGAGTATGACCATGAACTCGTGATCGTATGGCTGTACAGGTACTGAGCTTCAGTCACATGCAGTCATCTTTCCTGCTCAACTGGTACTGGGCCTGTGGTCATTCAGCTAAAAGGAAGCCGCTTTATACTTACCTGTGTTGTTTGGAGTATTGTTCCATTCATGTAGAATGTCGTGATAAATGCATATTAGGTATGTGATATGTACACATGTACTTGTAAACACACACACATGTACACAGAGAAAGTGTGCACTATCAGGTGTTTGCTAATGTTACACCAGGGGATTAAAAGGAACTCTTTTATCATGAGTCACCTGTGTACATAAAAGAAAAAGGTTAAAAGAAAAAAAAAAGAGAGGTAACCTAAACATAAGATACTACACTTTCTTTTCAAGATACCAAACTTTCTTCTGAAGGGTTTTTTTTTCACTTTCTTTTTTTTCTTTTCTTAATGTTTTTATTTATTTTTGAGAGACAGAGCATGAATGGGGAGGGGCAGAGAGAGAGGAAGACACAGAATCTGAAGCAGGCAATAAGCTCCAAGGTGTCAGCACAGAGCCCAAGGCAGAGTTCAGACCCATGAACTATGAGATCATGATCTGAGCTGAAGTCAGACGCTCAACTGACTGTGCCACCCAGGCACCCCTTTTTCTATACTTTCTGCAAGTTTTAAATCAAACCCCATGAATGTCAACAACCAAACCTTTTTTAAAAAAATCTTTTTAATGTTTATTTATTTTTGAGAGAAAGAAAGACAGAGTGAGTGGGGGAGGGGTAGAGAGAGAAGAGGAGACATGGAATCTGAAGCAGGCTCCAGGCTCTGAGCTGTTAGCACAGAGCCTGACATGAGGCTTGAACTCACAAACTGTGAGATTATGACCTTAGCTGAAGTCAGATGCTTAACCGACTGAGCCACCCAGGTGCCCCAAACCTTTTTATTTTTAATATTTATTTTTGAGAGAGGAAAAAAAGAGAAAGTGCATGTGGGGGAGGGGCAGACAGAGAGAGGGAGACAGAGGATCTGAAGCGGGCTGTGTGCTGACAGCAGAAATCCCGATGTGAGGCTCAAACTCAGGAAGTGCGAGATCATGACCTGAGCCAAAGTCAGATGCTTAACTAACTGAGCCACCCAAGAGCCCCAATCCAAACCCTTAATAGAGAAAAACGCTTTCCGCTTACTACTGCCAAATCTCCAGTCAAACTCTACTTCAGCTACCTATTCAAATGGAGGACCATTTGAAAGTCATGCAATCTTTTCACTTTCCTTGGCCATTTCAGTTGTTTTATTTCTGAATAAAACCAGACTGCTATGAAATTGGGTCCCTGGGTAAACAGGCTATGGTGCCCTGAAGAACCGTATCCACTGAGCTCTGCTTGGCATATTCCCAGAGGAGGCCAAGTAAGAAACAGCTATAGGAAATCTGCTTTTCCACTTACCATAAGGCTGTGAGTTGAGGATATACCCCAATGATCCCCTCCAAAAACATCAACCAAAGAAATTTCCTAAGACCTAAAGTGACATAAATTATTAAATTCCCCAAGAAACTGGTCTGCCTTCCCCACAGAGTCAGTGGACATCACATAGCTTTTCATGTCTGTCTGGCTGTGATGTCTGTTAGAAATGCCAGAGGCCAAGTGACGGCTAACATAACCCACAGAGTTCTGATGTTAGTCTTTCAGGATGACCCCAAGAGTAATCCATTCCTGATCTCATTTTGCCCTAGTTTTGAATTTAGGGTCTAAGTTAATTTCTCCCTAGAATCCAAATATCCCAATTTATACTTCTTTTAGTTGAACTGATTTTTTTTCCAGGCCACTACAAATCTGCCAGAAAACACAGAAAAGACGTAACAAACGAAAATCACCTGGGCCTTGATCATTTTCTTCTATGCTCAGGAAGCAGTAACATGGGTTCTATGACTTTTGTGTCTCCTGCATCTACGACAAGGTTTTTAGAGTCAGAAATCTTGGTGTCTGCTTGAAGTTGTCCCCAGAAGCAATGATATCCAAGTGCAAGAATTTCCTCTTTCTTCCCTCATTCCTTCTCTTGATCTCTCTTGTTCTTGGGGACCCAAGACCTGTGGGGTGAAGAGCAAATTGACTTTGACTATACATTCCCTCAGAGAGCAGGTGTTATTACTGCTGTTATGCACTTACCTTAAAGGACCCCAATATTTCCAACTGTGCCTTTATCTGGTGCCCCTGACGCTTTCACACTGTAAAGCAATAAAGTAGGGGGATCTAAATGTGTGAAAGGAATGCCTTTCCTCTGTAGAGCAGATGTGGCATGGCTATTAAAGAGGAGGTGGGAAAGCAAAAGCATAAGAACACGATGCCACGGAGGCAGATTATCAGGCACATCCATTTAGGATATATGGAAGGTTCAAAGATCTGGACATTGTGCTGTTATTTTTTTTATTTTTTATTTTTTTTTAAATTTTTACATGTTTTTATTTATTTCTAGGAGAGAGAGAGAGACAGCTTGAGCAGGGGAGGGTCAGAGAGAGAGAGGGAGTCACAGACTGAAACAGGCTCCAGGCTCTGAGCTGGCAGTCAACACAGAGCCCGAAGCGGGGCAAGAACCCAAGAACCGCGAGATCATGACCTAAGCGAAAGTCGGACGCTTAACCGACTAAGCCACTCAGGCGCCCCTGGACATTGTGCTTTTAAAAAGCAAGTATGCCCAGGGGCACCTGGGTAGCTCAGTCAGTTCAGCATCCAATTTCGGCTCAGGTTATGACCTCACAGTTTGTGGGTTCAAGCCCCACATGGGACTTTGCTCTGACAGCTCAGAGCCTGGAGCCTCCTTCAGATTCTGTGTCTCCCTCTCTCTCTGCCTCTCTCCTGCTCCCACTCTCAAAAATTAAAAACAAGGGGCGCCTGGGTGGCTTAGTCGGTTAAGCGTCCGACTTTCGCTTAGGTCATGATCTCGCGGTTCGTGGGTTCGAGCCCCGCGTCGGGCTCTGTGCTGACTGCCAGCTCAGAGCCTGGAGCCTGTTTCGGTCTGTGGCTCCCTCTCTCTCTGACCCTCCCCTGCTCACGCTGTCTCTCTCTCTCTCTCCTAGAAATAAATAAAACGTTAAAAAAAAATTAAAAAAAAATTAAAAACAAAAAAAAATTTAATAAACACTAAAAAATTAAAAAAAAAACAAGTACATCCTGTATAAGTCCATTTATATAAAACTTAAAAATATATAAACTAGCCTATAGTAATAAAAAATAGATGAGTGGTGGCTTGGCGAGAATAGTAATGAAAAATAGATGCGTGGTGGTTTGGGGAGAGATGGGGAAGTATGAGAGGGATAGATTAAGAAGGGGAACAAAGAAAATTTGGTGGTGAGGGGTGTGTTTATGATCTTCATGGTAGTGACACTTTCATGAATATATATATCAAATTTACCAATCAATATGGGTTTTTAAAGTTTATTTATTTATTTTGAGAGAGAGACAGAGAGAGAAACCAAGAAAGGGGCAGAGAGAGAATCCCAAGCAGACACCACACTCTCAGTACAGAGCTCCATGTGGGCTCGAACACACAAACCATGAGGTCATGATGTGAGCCAAAATCAAGAGTCATGTGCTTAAATGACTGACCACTCAGGTGCCCCCCAATCAATATGACTTAATTATCTGGAACTTACTATAAGTCAGTTTTGCCTCAATAAATCACCTGGGAGAAAGGGGAAAACCTAGTGAAAATTAGAATATAGACCAAAATTTAATGCCAGTCAAAAAAGGCAGCAACAAAAGACTATACATACTTTATGCTTCTGTTTATATGAAATGTCTAGAAATTGCAAAGTAATAGACCCAAGAAGATGATCAGTGGTTGTGCATGGCTGGGGGTGGGAGTGGAGAAGGAGTGGAAAGAAAACCAAGAAAATTTTTCCGAGTAACGAAAACGCTTTAAAATTGGATTGCTTTAAATTGGATTGTGCTTAGAACACTACTTGGCAACAAGAAAGAATGAAATCATGCCATTTGCAGCAACATGAATGGAAACTGGAAGGTATTAGGCTGAGTGAACTAAGTCAGTTAGAGAAGGACAGATATCATATGTTTTCACTCATATGTGGATCCTGAGAAACTTAACAGAAGCATGGGGAAAGGAAGGGGAAAAAAACAGTTACAAACAGAGAGGGAGGGAGCCAAACCATAAGAGATTCTTAAATACAGAGAACAAACTGAGGGCTGATGGCGGGGGTGCGGGAGAGGGGAAAAGGGGTGATGGGCAGTGAGGAGGGCACTTGTTAGGATGAGCGCTGGGTGTTGCATGTAACCAATTTGATAATAAATTATATTCATAAAATAAAAAAATTGGATTGTACTCATGGCTGCACAACTCTAGAAACAGTTAAAATCGCTGACATGTACATACTCAGACTTGGTGAATTTTATGGTATGTAAATTAAACCTCAATAAAACTACTACTAAAATTATTATGGAATACTTTAGAATATTTTATGTTATTACTTGTATTAATGATTATGTTTCATTCAGACATGTCACTGGCTCACCAACCTCTGTTGACACTACTTCAATGATTAAAAATGTATAAATATCTCCTATGCAGATATGTGGAGGATGATAAATTACATGATACAATCAGTTGTCATTATACAGATATACAGATTATCCCAAATATGTGGGGGGGAGGGGGGAAGCTCTTACTAGAGAACAGAATATAAGGTAAGGGAGATGCTTTTAATTAGAATGACCCTAAAAAGAAATCTCCAGGGGCGCCTGAGTGGCTCAGTCCGTTGAGTGCCTGACTTCTACTCAGGTCATGATCTCAAGGTTTGCGTTCCAGCAGGCACTGGGCTCACTGCTGTGGGCGCAGAGCCTGCTTTAGATCCCGTCCCCCTCCCTCCACCCCTCCTCCGCTTACATGCGCGCGCTTTAAAAAATAAACATGTTTTTTAAATCTCCAAAAGTATAGTAAACTTAAATGTATCACCAGCTCACTCCGTACACACTGAATTTTGAGGGAACAGTGAAAAGAGTGGTGATGTAGGGAGACAAAGTTTTTACTAAAGTTCGTGAAGACCTTGAAGGAGTGAACTGGGTTTGAATTAGCTGGGGAAATGTAGGCTTCTGGTCTATTTGGGGTATTCAGGGTTTGAGCCTGAACCTTCCGACTCTCGGGGACCCTGGACCTCCTCAAACACTGACAGCGCCCACCAGGATTCTCTAAGAGTGTGTCCTCCGTTAAAGGCCATACTGAACCAACCCAGGCTTCTCTAAAGCGCGCACGGAAAAAAACTTTCCACCCCACTTCTCAGCACCGAGTTCCACAAGCAGAGTGACACACGTGGACCTCGAACCCCAACACAGTCGGCCTCTCGGTCGATGATTTCCTCAGTCTCCTTATCACCGACTCCCACAGGCCCCATCGCTACCCCAGATTCCTCAATGACTGAAACCAAACAAAATCTCGACTGCGGTCCTTCACACACGATCCCGTTTCACGGACGCCACAGGCCGCGAGCCAAGCCCAGAACCCGACTCACCTGAACCCGAACCTCTCCAAACGCCCCTGGTAGAGACGAAAGGCCGCCCACGTCCGAAGCTACTTCCTGTTCGGAAGCCCTTCCTGGAGATACCTGGGGACCCGGATCCCCCTGAGCCAGTGAATCCCGCGAGGACCTGAGAGCTCTGCGGGATTTCGGAGCTCGGACGGCGGGCTCCGCTCTATGACGTAAGTGGCCACGCCCATCCCGGAGTTTCTGACGGAAGGGGCAAGAGCGGCTATGAGAGGAGGCCAAAATCGTTACTGGCCACTTCAGTGTTTTTACCTTCTCCTTATGAGGGATGACCAACAAAGCGGTGCTAACCGGGCGAGACTTCAAAGGCCGGTGTTTATCTAAGGCCACCAGGCACATTTATCGGTCAGGGGAAAAAGATGGCGGCACCCTTGTGAACGGCCTAGCGCCGCCGTCGGACTGGAGCAGCATGGGTGCGGCCATCTTAGAGGAAGGCAGGTGTCCGTACGGCTGAGACTGGCTCAGACCCTAACTGATGGCGGGGAAAAAAGTTTGTAGAAGCTGAGACGTCACTGGAAAGGCGGCGGTCACAGAGTTGACCAAAGCAGTGGTCATTTGACGTCTTGGGGGTGGGGAGAGAGCGGTTGTTTTTAAGGAAGACAGATATTGAAGAGACGAAGTCAATAGGGCAGAGCTTCCTAAAGAAATGCTAATGTCCCGCTGGCAGTGACTACTTCGCTACCTTACCTCTATGGGGAAGCGATGAAGTGAAGGTTCAAACGTGTATGTTTCCTTACAAAGATAGATGAAGGTGACCGTGGGGCACTGGGAGAATATGAAATTACGAGATGTTGTAATGATCATACATTGCACATTTCCCAAGTTAAAAAAAAAAAAAGCACACTTTAAAATTGTATTTAGGAGTGGGAGGTTTAATCATAGAGGATGTTAAGTAGCTACTCCCTTTTTAGAAGGCAACCTGAATCTATTTAAAAATTTGATTCTCTTTGGGGCGCCTGGGTGGCTTAGTCGGTTAAGCGTCCGACTTTCGCTTAGGTCGTGATCTCGCGGTTCGTGGTGGTCGAGCCGGCGTCGGGCTCTGTGCTGACTGCCAGCTCAGAGCCTGGAGCCTGATTCAGAGTCTGTGACTCCCTCTCTCTCTGACCCTCCCCTGCTCACGCTGTCTCTCTCTCTCCTAGAAATAAATAAAAAACATTTAAAAAAATTAAAAAATTTGATTCTCTATAAGAAATTCTAATTGCAGTAGCTTACTTGGTAAAAAATTTTTCTTAATATTAACCACGTTGAATTTTGTAAGTTAGAAGAAAAAACCTAAATGTACAATAATACACGAATACTTTGGTAAATTGTGGAATATCCACTCAGAGAAACAGTATATACAATTTTAAAAATATATATTACAGGGAACTCTCGGTGGCTCAGTCGGTTAAGCCTCTGGCTCTTGATTTCAGCTCAGGTCATGATGTCACTCTTCATGAGATGGGTTCATAAGACAGAGGACCACATCAGACTCTGCGCTGACCATGCAGAGCCAGCTTGGGATTTTGTCTCTCTCTCTCGCTGCCCCTCCTCTGCTTGTTTTCTCTCAAAATAAATAAGCTTAAAAAAAGAGGGAAAAGAATATACTACAATTGTCTGTATAATGAAATAGAACTTTTCTAATATTCTCAAGAAAAAACACATCTACTGAATAGTATAAATATTATAAACCCCATTGTAGGAACAAATCATAAATATTTGTGATTGGTTAAATAAATATTTAGTTTGGATTACTTCAGGGTTTGTACTTATGGGTAGTGAATGTCAGAAGTTTTCATATTCTTGGGGTGCCTGGCTGGCTCAGTCCATGAAACGTGCCATGACTCTTGATCTCTGGGTTGTGAGTGTGAGCCCCATGTTGGGTGTAGAAATTACTTAAAAAAATAAAATCTTGGAAAAAAAATAAAAAATTCATTCTTGAGTCACTAAACAGGTATGATCATTTAAAAAAAATTTTCACATTGCCAATTTTTGCAGTTTTCCATTGTCAATACATCTTTGTATCATGATTCTATGGTATTTTAGTATTATAAAAAGATGTCAATTTTAGAAAAGTTTTAGAGTATTTAATGGTGTTCAAAACATAGTAAGTATAAAAAGTGACCTCATTTTTCTTTAATAAAAGACATAAGTATGTATGTTTGAAAATTTGGGAGAAGATACTGTTAATAGTGCTAGACTCAGGTACAGTTATGGGTGATTTCAAATTTCTTCATTTGCTTATATATGTTTTCTAATTTCTATACATTTAGAACTTTATTGTTTGTATAATTTCTTAATAGTAAGAGTATTATATTCCCTCCAGGGATCAAGTGGGCAGCCCTATTCACCTGGGATATTAAGCTCTGAAAAGGGAGTTCAGTATCTGGTCCAGAGAGCTCAGGGCAGCCTCGGTGGCCCATTCTTGGACCCTGCCTGATCAGTTTCAGGAATGAGCTGATCTGACCTTGCAGGATGGGTAGATTCACAAAAGGATAAGAAGTGGAAGGGTTCTAAGGGTTTGGTTGCTAGAGCATTTGTGTCTGATTTTCTTACCGTAAACTGTCTGCCCAGAATCCATCCTATTACAGTGTGGAGATGGTGACGGGAACACTAATCCAGGATTTAGGGCAGAGATGTTAAAATTTAAGTATAGTTCACAAAGATCATTTTTTAAACTCAGGGTCCTGGGCCCCAATACTAGAAGTTCTGGTTTAGGAGGTCTGGGGTGTGACTCAAGGATTTGTATCTTTTTCAAGTTTCTCAGAGAATTCTGAGGCAGGAAGCCCAGAAAAAACACTTAGAAACACTTAGATCTGGAGTGTTCCTGGCTTACAAATATGCTGGTTGGTTATCCTCAGTACACTTAGGTCTTGGTTCAAATTACATGTGCTCAGAACAGCCTTCCTTGAAAACCCTTACTAAAATAGCTCCTTCATTACAACCTATGTACTAGGCTTAAAGTTTCTTCGTAGCTCTTAGCAGAACTGACATTTCTATCATATATTTATTTTACTCAGTCACATTCATGACACCACATGTGTCATAAAGGCCATGACTTTGCCTGTTTTGTTCATTTTGTTCATTGATGTGCCCCCAGTGACTACAATGGTGCCTGGCACAGTGTAAATGCTCAAAACCTGTATTTTTAGGGGCACCTGGGTGACTCAGTCACTTAAGCATCTGACTCTTGATTTAGCCTCAGGTCAGGATCTCACAGTTCATGAGTTTAAGCCCCACATTCTGCAATGACAGTGTGGAGCCTGCTTGGGATTTTCTCTCCCTCTCTCTCTGCCCCCTTCCCAACTCATGCACATGCACCCACACTTTCTCTCAAAATGAACATTAAAAAAATTTTTTTAAAGAAATGAATTACCCAACACTAAGTTGGTATGAATTTTACCATAACACTACATGGCATTTTTTTTTTTTTTGCCACAAGTAGGATTTGTAAACTGGATTGCATATCCTTATTATATCAAGAGAAATTACTGACCAAAGAAGAGAGAACCAGAAAAAAAAGAGAGAGAACAAGAGCCCTTTTGCTAAGAAAACTAACAATTTGTTGCCAGCAGACCTGCTCAAGAATTGATAAAGGAAGTTTTAACAGAAAGGAAATGACAGAAGGAAACATGAAACATCAAGAATGAAGAAAAGAGAACATGTGGCCAACTAATTTTTGACCAAGCAGGAATGAATATCCAATGGAATAAAGACAGTCTCTTCAACAAATGGTGCTGGGAAAACTGGACAGCAACATGCCAAAAAGTGAAACTGGACCACTTTACTACACCATATACAACAATAAACTCAAAATGGATGAGAGACCTAAATGTAAGACAGGAAACCATCAAAATCCTAGAGGAGAAAGCGGGAAAAAACCTCTTTACCTCAGCCGCAGCAACTTCTTACTCAACACATCTCCAGAGGCAAGGGAAACAAAAGCAAAAATTAACTATTGGGACCTCATCAAAAAAAAGCTTATGCACAGAGAAGGAAACAATCAGCAAAACTAAAAGGCAACTGACAGAATAGGAGAAGATATTTGCAAATGACATATCAGATAAAAGGTTAGTATCCAAAATCTATAAAGAACTTATCAAACTCAACACCAGTGAAGAACAAATAATCCAGTGGGCAAAAGACATGAATAGACACTTCTCCAAAGAAGACATCCAGGAGGCTCACAGACACATGAAAAAATGCTCAACATCACTCATCAACAGAGAAATATAAATCAAAACCACAATGAGATACCACCTCACACCTGTCAGAATGTCTAACATTAACAACGCAGGCAACAACAGATGTTGACGAGGATGCGGAAAAGAGGCCCTCTTTTGCACTGCTGGTGGGAATGCAAACTGGTGCAGCCACTCTGGAAAACAGTATGGAGGTTCCTCAAAAAATATAAAATAGAACTACCCTATAACCCAGCAATTGCACTATTAGGTGTTTATCTGAGGGATATAGGTGTGCTATTTCAAAAGGGAACATGCACCCCAATGTTGACAGCAGCACAATCGACAATAGCCAAAGTTTGGAAAGAGACCAAATGTCCACTGATGGATGAACAGATAAAGATGTGGTATATATATACAATGGAGTATTACTTAGCAATCAAAAAGAATGAAGTCTTGCCATTTACAATTACATGGATGAAGTGGAGTGTATTATGCTAAGCAAAATTAGACAAAGACAAGTATCATATGACTTCACTCAGATGAGGAATTTAAGATTCAAAACATGAATATAAGGGAAGTAAAAATAATATAAAAACAGGGAGGGGATGAAACATAAAAGACACTTAAATATAGAGAACAAACAGAGGGATGCTGGAGGGGCTGTGGGAGGTGGGGTGGTCTAAGTTGGTAAGGGGCATTAAGGAATCTACTCCTGAAATCATTGTTGCAACATATGCTAACTAACTTGGATGTATATTAAACAATAAGTACATTTTAAAAATAGAATACAAATATCAAATAAAAAGAGGAAAAGGTAAATATATCATCAGATGTAATAGGCTGTTTCCCTTTGGGTTTTTAAAATGATGTTTGATGGTTGAAAGCTAAAGTAACAACTTTCCCTGATATGGTTCTCAGCCTATGTAGAGGTGCTAAGCATCACGTGCTGTTGGGGAAACATAAGACCACCATTATATGCTACACGCACCAGATGGGATTTCCAGGATCTGATATGACCGTGCCAAGTACTAGAAAAGACACAACTGAGGCATCCGTACACTGCTGGTAGCAATGTAAATTAGTATGGCTCCTTGGGAAAGGTTGGCTGTTTCTTACAAACACAAACTTAACATAGGTACTTATCCCAGAGAAATGAAAACTTACGTCCACACGAAACTGGATTCATTAGTATCTTTATTCATAACAGTGAAATACTAGAAACAACCCAAAGTCCATCAACACTGAACAGATAAACCATGTTACATTCATTATCAAAGAACACTACTCCGTAACTAAAAGTAAAACTATTTATATGCCCAACAAAGTGGATGGAACTTAAGGGCAATTTGCTGCATGAAATAAAGCCTGTCTCAAAGGCTATACCGTATCATTTCATTTTAACAGCGCTCTTGAAATGACAAAATCAGAGTGATGGAGTCAGTGGTCGCCATGGGTCAGGGTTGTGGGGAGAGTGTGACTGTAGAGGGCTGCACAAGGATGCTTCTTTGTGTTGCCACAATTCTGCTTCCTGCTTATGGTGGAACTTACAGAAATCTATATATGTGATAAAGTTCCTTAGAACTCTCCACTAAAAAATAAAACTTCACACAAATTAGCACATGCAAAAACTAGTGGAAACATTGATTTTGATAGTGTATTACAGTTATGTAAGATCATGTCACTGAGGAGGCTGAGTGCAGGTACTCAGGAACTTTGTACACTTTATAATTTGTGAGTCTAAAATAATTTCAAAAAATTTTAGAAAAATCATATATAAGGTTACTTTTGTAAACTACTTAATGCTACTTATAAACTTGGATAAATAACACCCAAATATGTTAAATTACATTTATAAATATACTTTTTCTTTTGCCCGAAAGAGATGAATTTAGAGTCTCAGAAATGCAACAGCTAATCAGATGACACAGGTTGGGCACAGAACACCCCTTCCTTGTGTACAACATTAACATTTGATCAGTGTTGAGAACACCTTACTTTAAAATTATGGAATCATTGAGAATATGGTGTAAGGTACCCGGCCCTCAGGGGTATTAAGGTTGGACTTGAGACAGAAAACTCAGGTATGCATCATTTCCATGAGGTTTCTTTTCTTCAGAATTTCTTATATTTTGCTAGTTACTCCACATTTAGTGTGTTCATAAATTTTATTTCTATATGAATTCATGAGAAGTGATGAGGCAGAATGTATCACTAAAATCCTCCCATATTCACTGCCATTTTCCGTCAGCATGACTTTCAGGCAACTATTGAGGTTCCACTTCTAGGCAAAGACTTTGCCACGATCATCATGTTGCTACTGTGTGCGAGCACACTGGTGATCTGTTATCATCACTCATTAGACAGGATCTTTATTCCCATAGGAGGCTTTCCTGCTCTCTCCAGTCACAAGATTCATCCTAGTGTATGCTTTTCAGATACATAATTACCTAAAAAATGTTTCCTCAAGACTTTTCTGCAATGAATGTGTCAGAGGTTTTTTTCTGTTTTGACCTACGGTGTGAGGTGATTGATCACTGAAGGCACTAGCACATTCTCTGCATTCATTAGATGTCACTCCTATGCAAATTCCCCAACTTCCCAAGGGTGAAAATCTAACAGGCTAATTAATCTACACTGACTTTTTCAGGTATGCTGGGAGCACACTGATGGTTTAATGAGTTCTCTAAACTATCATGATTTGTCTCCTGCCTAAGTTCACTTGCATGTAATTTCAGATTCCCTGCAAAGGATTATATACTTTGACTTATACATTTCTTGTGTGTATGTTTTTAGTGTTTATTTTTGAGAGAGAGAATACAGGCAGGGGCAGAGAGGGAGGGAGGGAGACAGAGCCTGATGTGGGGCTCAAACTCACAAATTGTGAGAAAGTGACCTGAGCCCAAGTTGGACGCTTAGCTGACTGAGCCACCCAGATGCCCCCATTTCTTATGTGTATTAACAAGGCTTGACAAATGAGAGAAAGGTAATCCTCAGTTACTGAATCCATCGAGTCTTTCTCTTCTATGTATTCTTCGATGTACAATGGGGGCTGACTTGGTGTAGGAAGACTTTGTCACATCAACCACATACATGCAGTTTGTCTCCTGCATAAATTCCCTGGTAGGTACTGAATAGGATTTTCCACAGTTTGCACAAATAAAGGAAGTCAATCCTGTGTGAAATCTCCGCTGTTGCACAAGGCATATTTTCCTCCTCAAGGTGTGACCATGTCCACTGTGTCATTAGGGTTTGTTTCCATTATGAGTTCTCTGATGTACAATAAGATTTCTCTTTGAGGAGAAGCCTTTTCCACATTCACTGCATATAAAAGGCTTCTCTCCTGTATGAGTTCGCTGATGAACGATTAGACGGCTCTTCACAGCGAAGCCTTTGCCACATTCATTGCATTCATAAGGTTTCTCTCCAGTATGAATTTGCTGATGTAAAATGAGCTCGGTTTCCACAGCGAAGGCTTTACCACATTCACTGCAGATGTAGGATTTCTCTCCTGTATGGATTTGTTGATGTACGATGAGATAGCGTTTCATGGTGAAACCTTTTCCACACTCACTGCACGTAAAGGGTTTCTCTCCAGTATGGGTTCGCTGGTGTACCACAAGATTGCTCTTGAAGGCAAAGCCTTTTCCACATTTATTGCATATATAGGGTTTCTCTCCAGTGTGAGTTCGCTGGTGTAACATCAGCCCACTATTCACAATGAAACCTTTCCCACATTCACTGCATCTGTAAGGTTTCTCTCCAGTATGTGTTCGCTGATGTACAACCAGCCGACTCTTCAGGGGGAAGCCTTTCCCACATTCGCTGCAGATGTAGGGTTTCTCTCCGGTGTGCGTTCGCTGGTGTATGATGAGCATACTCTTCACAGTGAAGCCCTTTCCGCATTCACTGCACACATAGGACTTCTCTACCGTATGATTTCTCTGATGCACAATGAGATTACTCTTCCGGGGAAAGCCTTTTCCACATTCCTCGCATACATAGGGTTTCTCTCCGGTGTGAGTTCGCTGATGTTCAATCAGTCGACTCTTCATGGTGAAGCCTTTCCCACACTCGTTGCATAGATAGGGTTTCTCTCCTGTGTGATTCCGTTGATGTATGATGACATAGTGCTTCGTGGTGAAGCCTTTCCCACATTCACTGCAGATGTAGGGTTTCTCCCCTGTGTGAGTTCGCTGGTGTATAATGAGCATGCTCTTCCCAGTGAAGCCTTTCCCGCATTCACTGCACACATAGCACTTCTCTCCAGTATGATTTCGCTGGTGCACAATGAGATTACGCTTCCCTGGGAAACCTTTGCCACACTCACTGCATACATAGGGTTTCTCTCCAGTGTGAGTTCGCTGGTGTTCAATCAGACGGCTCTTCATGGTGAAAACCTTTCCACAATCATTGCATATAAAGGATTTCTCTCTTTTATGAATTCTCTGATGTTCATTGAGCCTAGACTTTCTGGAGAAAACTTTTGCACAAATATTGCATCCATAAGGTTTCTCTCCTGTATGAACTCTGTGATGATCTGTTAGCTGAGACTTCTTAATGAAGGCTTTTCCACATTCACCACACACATGGGCTTTCTCTATTTCATGAGTTCTCTGATGCTTAGTGACTTGGGACTTGTTGCTGACAGGTTTTGCACTTACAGGGAATTTAACTGAAGAATGAAAATCTTCACACTTACCATGCAGAAATGATTTCTCATTTCCATTGACTTTAGTAGAGTTCTTAATTTCACAGACTTTGCTCTTGTTGGTTAAACTTAAATTTGATTTCAAAGTTTTTATATAGAACTCAAACATATGATTTTGCCTGAAAGGAAAATGACTTTTGCTTTGAGGAACGACATTTCCAAATGCACTATGTTCAGGGTCCAGCTCCATACCTTTCAGCATTCTTTGATCTTCCCAGTGACCCTGCAGGTGGTTATCAACTTTTCTAGTTTCTAGAAAAGAAGAGAACAATGAATCATAATGTTGTTTTGAATAAAACTTTGCTTTTTTATTTTTTAGAGAGAATAAAACTTTATTTTATTTTATATATCTTAGAGAGCGTGAGAGAGCGAGAGAGCGAGCGAAAGATCATCTCAAGCAGGTTCCACACTTGGAGTCTGATGTGGGACTCCCATGACCCTGGGGATCATGACCCAACACAAAATCAAGAACCAGACACTCAACTGACTGAGCCACCCAGGCGCCGCTGAATAAAACTTTAAAAAATTCCTTGGTGTTTCTTAAAAACGGCATTTTAGTGACAACAGTATAATACAGAATGCCATATATAAATGCTCCTGATCTCTTACACACTGGTAAAAACACAACAATATAGACAAAAGGAAAAAGCAATAAGTGTACCAATAAGGTTATACAATTGACAACGTATGTACATTTGGCCGCTTTCTAACTAGGAAGTGGTAAAACATGCAGAGATACTAAAACACAAGTCATTTTTGGCAGCAGATGACAAGGTTGGAGGAACACCATTCCACAGAACGGAGGTAGAAGAGACTACTATCAGAACTAGGAGGGCTGCGTTTATTCACTCCAAGCTGTTTATTGAATGGCTCCTGTGTACAGGCACTTATTCTGGTGTTTGGAACATATGAAACATGCCTCACTTTCACTGCTCTTAAATCTAGCTGGGGAAAACCAAAGGAAGAAGAAAAGAAAAAAAGAAAGGAGTTGGATATCGTTAAATGTGATTAAAGGAGAAATGGAGACTGGAAAGTGGAGAAAAACAGGATATATTTGCATAAAGAAAAGACAGTTCAATGATGAATTCAGCTGACAGTGGTTAGGAATCAGGATTACCCTGCTAACTATACAGCTTGAGCCACTGGGTAGGTAGAAACTTGTCAAATGGAGATGAGGATTATTACTGAAATCCAGAAAGTGTTGGAAAGTCTGTGTTGTAAACATTGAGAGGATTATTAGAAATGTAGTATAGGGCGCCTGGGTGGCTCAGTTGTTTCAGCATCCAACTCTTGGTTTTGGCTCAGGTCACGATCCCATGGTTTGTGGATTAGGGAACCCTGTGTCCTGCTTGGGGTTGTTTTTCTCCCTCTCTCTGCCCCTACCCCCCCCCCGCCCCCCACCACCACACACACATATGGTTTTTCTCTGTCTCACTTTCAAAATAAACTTAAAAAAAAAAAAAAGAAATGTAGTATAGACATCAAGATCTGGTTGGGGGTATAAATGGGGATAGTCACGTAGAAATAATACACACCTTTTATTTAAGAAAAGAGGACCGGGTGAAACATTGGGAGGACACAGAGAAAGAAAGATGAGGAAGGTTTTAGACAGTCCAACATTCCGTTTGGGGATTCTTTAAGTTCACTGAGAGAAACCAAATTCCGACTAGAGAGATCAGGGAAATATGCATACCGAGGTGTATACAGAATAAATGCATTTGTAACCTAGCAAGTAAGAGAGTAAGGCCTTTAGAATTTAACATGAGCTGAAAGAGACTCTTGCATAGTAATCCTGTTCCTAAATTTGCCTTTCTATAGACCACCATCAAACTAACTTTCCAAACATCAATCAGATTTAGTGGACAACAGTCCAACCTTGGTCTAGCCGGGTCATATTATCATGTGTTCCAATCATATTGGAATAGGCAAACGTGAATGGCAGGAAATCTTGCAGCTGGATAGTGAACCCCACAGTCATCTTCAGAAGCTAAAGTGCTACTGTACAGGATATGGAAACAAGTCCTACCCAAGGACTTTTCCCATTTCGACATCTCTGCTGTGCTGTACCTTCACTTGCTACCAGCAGCATCTACTTCAGTAGTTCAACATTTGTGTCTCCATTGGCAATAGATTGTACTAAGGGACCGACTTTCTCCTCTAAGACCGAGGTGTGTCAGCTTTACCCTCATTTCTTCTGAGAACTCCTAGCTATTCCTTATTATTGTTGTACTACCGCTGCCCAGGTCAAAACGTCAGACAACCTAGAGCTACAAAAAGTACAAAAGCAAACACAGCCCTCGACCATGCTACCTCTATTACTCACCTATCAAACCCAGTCATCCTGGCAATAAACGTGTTATGTTATCATGAATACTCCCATACACCCATGTCCCCATTGCTTCTCCTATAGACACCTTCTAATGCTGGCTTTCATCCAGCCAACTCCAGGCCACTCTGAATAGTCAACCCCATGACCTTGCACATTTCCTATTTCATATCTTCATTCCTAATTCATGGCAGCATCTTCATAATTCAAAATGTAGATGTACCTTATACATATCATGCTGTCATTCTATTCTGATTGGATGGCCATGAGCTCTATTTCCTCTTTATTTCTACATTAATCCTTGTCTTGTTTGTGTTCACAGTACCTTCAGTGAAGATTTACCCTCACCAAAGAGAAGTCTGGTCCTTGCCCTCAGCCCCAGAAAAGTGATCTCTAGGCCCCTGGAATGTCCTACCTGATAGGAGCGTCTCTGTTTTCCTGGGGTCTTTGACCACTGAACATTCTAACAACGTAATTTATGATGGAGGCTTTGGGCCAGCCATATCAGTTCCAACCTCTGGATCCTCACAGGAACTGGAGACTCTATGAATTAGCCTGATTTCTGGAGGAGCTAGAAACTAAAGTTCAGCCATGTGGACAATGTGTGATTGAGCCCCAGTAAAAACACTGGACACCAAAGGATCAAGTGAGGTCTCCTGTCTGGCAATACTCCCTAAATTGTCACACACTGTGGCTGGGAGGAGGAAATCCTGACCATGAGTCTGGAAGCCCCATGTTTGGGCCCTTCCTGTGCTCCATATGACCCAAGAATTCCACTCCTTGGTGTATATCCAAGAAAAATTAATGTTCATAGCATAATTCATAAAAGCCAAAAAAAAGTGGAAAAACCTGATGTCCATCAGTGGATGAATAAGTAAATAAAATGTGGTATATCTATATAATGGGAATATTATTTACCAATAAAAAGGAATTAAGTGCTGATACGTGTTAAAGCACAGGAGAACTTCAGAAACATTAGGCAAAATGCAAGAAGCCAGACACAAGAGACAAATATTTTATGATTATATGAAATATCCAGAACAGGTAAATCTGTAGAGATAGAAAGTAGAGCAGTGGTTGCCTGGGGCTGGAGGCCTGGGAAGAGATTTTTCTTTCTATTCTTTATCTTATTTTTAAAAAGATTTTACTTTTTAAAAACATTGTTTTAATGTTTATTTATTTTTGAGAGAGACAGAGCACAAACAGAGGAGGGGCAGAGGCAGAGGGAGACACAGAATCTGAAGCAGGCTCCAGGCTCTGAGCTGTCAGCACAGAGCCTGACACGGGGCTCGAACCCACAACCCATGGGATCATGACCTGAGCTGAAGTTGGACGCTTAACTGACTGAGCCACCCAGGCGCCCCTTTTAATGTTTGTTTATTTTTGAGAGAGAGAGACAGACTGTGAATGAGGGAGGGGAAGAGAGAGATACACAGAATCCATAAGATCATGACTTGAGCCAAAATCAAGAGTCAGACACTTAACCAAATGCGCCACCCAGGTGCCCCAGAAATATTTCTTTTTAAAGTGATTAATATCTTTCAAAATTGGGGATGGTAACATAACCCTGTTAATATGTTACAAAGCACTCAATTGTATGTATTAAGTTGGCAAATTGTAGGTTATGTGAATTATCTTAAAGCTACTTACAAAAAAGAAAAATGGGAAAACAAATGATTTAGAGAATGTAGTATAATGGGAAGACCTACAATGAACCAAAGGAATATCAGAAATATCAACCATAGGAAGGAAGCCACAGAAGCTGTCACAGCTGATTTAGGCTAGAACTGATGATGTAAAACCATTTTTTCCAGTGAAACAGTCAACAGAAACAGCAGAGATCTTTAAGAAGAGAACACCACAGCTAACAGCGTGGGCAGGGTAAGGTGTGCAGTACTAAGGGGGAATCTACCGTTAAAATGGGATCGAAAGGAATTATTTTGTGGAGGGAAGAGGATTCCTATTCCTCATGCTGGACTCAGAAATCTTAGGCAGCTAAAATATCTAGAACCGAAAGTTCTACACAGCACATAGGGAGGTATCGATTTGGAGGCTCATCCAGACAACAGAAAGAGCTTAATTCATGGGCCAAAAGGAAAATCTCAAGTATCAGGAATACAGCAGAGAAAATGGAGAGGAACTGAAGACCTCTGTGTTGGGGGAAAGCTAGGAAGTGAACTAATGCCAAGAAGAGACGGGGTTACTGTGAAGACACGACATACAGAGAGGAGTTGGCTGGCAGGAGGGGAATCAGCATTTCCAGAGGGGCCGGAAGGTGCAGAAGTCAGAAAAAGAGTGAATTCACGCATTCCTCTTTGGACTCAGCCCCAGAGAGTGGAGTTTCACAGCCGGGGTGGGAGGAATGGGGACACCCGCTCCGACAGGGCACAAAGAAGGGGTCAGCTGCAGAATCCATGGAAGAAACCTAGGCAAAAGTCACACAAGTTAAGGTGTAAAATGAAAAAAAGGAAGGATCAAATATCAGAAGCGGAAAAAAAGAGTTCTACTTCCCTCTGAAGACCTGGAAGAAAAGCTGTCCTGTGAGGCAGAGATGCATGGCGCACCGCTGGAGGGGGACTTCCGCAGTGACCCAGCTTGCTGGCTCCCGCTCACCTGGACGGGTTCCACTGCGCACTTCCTCTTCTGTCGCCCACGGTTCTTCCCCTCGTTCCAGCTTGGAGAGCGCGTCTGGTTTGCTGGCTTGATGCCCTGCTCGTAGGAAAGACAGACACGTGGGCTGGGGTGTGTCAGGATGGAAGGACGCTACATGTGAGGGGCGGAGGCAGTTTTCACATCTGCACAGTAAGGGTTCTTCTCCCGGGAGAGGGCTCACGTGATGCTGTGATACAATAATACATCTTTAGTCTTCGTACCAGACTCCCAGCACAGAGCTCGTGAGGCCCTTCCTGAGTGGCAGCCGTGACAGGAACATCAGTCACAGGATTTGGTCTAAGTTCCCGTTCCTGACACAAGAACTTCTAACGCCCTTGGACTCTCCAGAGTGAGGGGTGTCTTTCTGTGAACTAATGACTGGTGACAGGGGCCCCAATCTAGCTTTAACCTGAAGGCTGCTGCCAGAAAAACCCAAGACTGATGAGAAGGTTGCAACCTTCAGCTCCAACCGCCACCGCCTCCCCCTGGAGACTGAGTTAATCACCAGTGGCTAATGGTTTCCTAGTCCTGCTTACATAATGAAATCTCCATAAAAAGTCCTAAACTACCAGGCTGGGCGAGCTTCCAGGCTGGTGAACACATTGAGGTCCTGGGAGGGTGGCTTACCTGGACAGGTCGTGGAAGGCCCACACCCCTCCCCTCATACTTTCCCATCTACATCTCTTCCTCTCGGCTGCTCCTGAGTTTTATACTTTATAATAAAATGCTAATCTTCTTTTTTAACGTTCATTTCTTTATTTTGAGAGAGAGTGTGTGCACGCACGAGTGGGAGAGGGGCACAGAGAGAGGGAGAGAATCCCAAGCAGGCTCTGTACTGTCAGCACAGCCCAACATGGGGCCCAATCTCACAAACCATGAGCTCATGACCTGAGCCAAAATAAAGAGTCAGACACCTGACCAACTGAGCCATCCAGGCACCCCTGTAAAATGGTAATCTTAAGTAAATAAAGTGCTTTCCTCAGCTTTGTGACCTGTGCCAGCAAATTAGCAGACTGGAAGGGGGGGGGGGCGTTTGCAGGAATGCTCAATTTATAATTGGACTGAAGTGTGGGTACACCGGGTACCCAATACTTGCAACTGGAATCCAAAGTGAGGGCAGTCCTGTGGTACTGAGCCTTAAACCTGTGGAGTCTGACGCCCACTCTGGGTAGCATCAGAACCGAAATGGATTGCAGGACACCTAGCTGGTACCTGAAGAGCTAGAGACCTGGTTGTTGGTGCAGAAAAACCCCACATGCTTGGCATCATTTGTTTTGGTAATAAAAACAGCTAATAGAACATCAGACCCTTTTAGAATGTGCCAGAGGCGGTCCTGGAAATTGGCCATTCAAAGCAGTGCAGGCACCCTGAAGTGTAAGCAGCTGAGAAAGGAAAGGCCATTGACCGAGCACCTTCTGCGGGACATGGGGGAGCCGTCCTCACCCACTGACACCAGGTTCCTGTAGTTCTCCAGCATCACGTCCCTGTACAGGTCCTTCTGGGCGGGAGCCAGGAGCCGCCACTCCTCCCGGGAGAAGTCCACGGCCACATCCTCCAGTGTCAGCGATTCCTATAATGACATGGTCCTGTTTAATATGAACGATTCTCTTTTATTGATTCATGAGGAATATAAAGGAAGTTGCCCTGCTAATAACAACTATGATGCTGAGACCAAGTCTGAAGTATATGAGGTGTTTTTTTGTGTTTTTTAAAGCACTTCTCTGACACCAGCTGGATGGCCTATAATTCAACTCAATTCTGACACTACCTACCTGGAGACAGTGTCACATTTCACAGGTCAAGGGGTCAGTTCCACAAGACTGCCCCTGCCCCCACTTCAGACACCAATCCGAGTCCATGTTGTCAACTGTGCTCTGACTAACAAGCTACAGAGTGGAGGTTCCATTGACCCCCTCCTTGGGTTTGATTAATTTGCTTAAGCGGCTCAGAGAACTCAGTTTATTTAACCATGTACTAGTTTATTATATATGATACAGACACAGATTTCATCCAGATGAAAGGGATGGGCAAGGTATGAGGGGATATCACCCTCTCAGCAGCCACACCCACTAAGCTCGGAGCTCTCCAAACCATACACCTTTGGGATTTTATGGAGGCTCCATTACACAGGCATGGTGAGTCATGAACTCCATTTCCAGGCCCCTCCCCTCTCTGGATAATGGGGATACAGCTGAAAACTCCACACTTCTGATCATGCCTTGGCCTCTCTGCAGACCACCCCCATGAAGGAGCCCACCTAGAGTCACACCATTAGAACAAGAGCTGTTCCTATCACCCAGGACATTCCAAGGGATTTAGGAACTCTGTCACAGATGAGATCAAAGACCAAATATTGGACCAAAGATGCCTCTAGTACTCTTTTCACTTAGGGAATTACAAGGATTTTAGGGGTGCCTGGGTGGCTCAGTCAGCTAAACGTCCAACTTCGGGTCAGGTCATGATCCCACGGTTTGTGGGTTCAAGCCCCAGAATGCAATTATGCAATCTGACAATATCCTATCATTAAGCATTGGCAAAGATTTCAGGCACAGATGATCCACATATAACTTAGGAGGCAGCCACTAAATCCTTTACACAGTTTAATTCATTGAGTATGACTCCACACAAATGGAATTTTCTATAGTTAATATTCATCAATCCATTGCAGTCATTATTTCTTTAAATACTTGAATTAAGAGCAGATTGTGTTCTTTGAAGTATGATTCCATTGATACACAAAATGTCATGATAGATGTGCTTACATACACAGATGTACATAGATCCAATGACATTTGTTAAGTGGGCTCATGTACACAGAGGCACACACAGGTCCGGGGACAGCAGGGACGTACCAAACATCTGTTACAGTGGTATGAGGGAATGAGGACAGAGGACATGAAGAGGGAATTTACGTTTTTGCTTTTAAGTTTCATTTATTTGTTTTGACAGAGAGAGAGGAGAGAGCATGAGCAGGGGAAGGGCAGAGAGAGGAAGAGAAAGAATCCCAAGCAGGCTCCACGCCATCATTGCGGAGCCTGACATGGGGCTTGAACTCACAAACCATGAGATCATGACCTGAGCTGAGATCAAGAGTCAGATGCTTGGGGCACCTGGGTGGCTTAGTCGGTTAAGCGTCCGACTTTCGCTTAGGTCATGATCTTGCGGTTCGTGGGTTCGAGCCCCGCGTCGGGCTCTGTGCTGACTGCCAGCTCAGAGCCTGGAGCCAATTTCAGAGTCTGTATCTCCCTCTCTCTCTGACCCTCCCCTGCTCACGCTGTCTCTCTCTCTCTCTCTCCTAGAAATAAATAAAAACTATTTAAAAAAAAAAAAGAGTCAGATGCTTAACCACTGAGCCACCCAGGTACCCTGATTTTTTTTTCTTTACAAGGTACTCGTAAGCAATTTGTATAGTTATAGGAAACAAAAACACTAAAAAGAAGAGTAGGTAAAAAAAACAACAACGTGGATCTAAAAATGGGAAAGGATTCTGCATTTTCTGAGATAACACGAAGTGGTAAAGCAAACACCCTGGAACCCAGTACCTCAAACCCTTACCAGACAAAATTTTCTGCAACTATCTAATGCCAAATTTGTACTTGAATGCCATTACAGGCACCTGCTTCTGGAGCCTTGGTTTGGTCCCCTGAAGAAACTGTGTTCACTGAATTGGCTTGGTCCATCCCCCCACAAGTCTCTGTGTAAGTCTGTAATAAATAGCAGTAGGGAGTCAGCGGCTGCTTTCATTAGAAGGTTACTGTTCTGGGGCACCTGGGTGGCTCAGTTCGTTAAGCATTCAACTCTTGATCCCAGCTCAGGTCGTGAACTCACAGGCCCATGTCACACTCTGCACCAGCGCAGAGCCTGCTTGGGATTTTCTCTCTCCCTCTCTCTGCCCCTCCCACACTCATAGTCTCTCTCTCAAAATGAATAAACTCTAAAAAAAAAAAAAAAAAAAGGTTACTGCTTAAAACATTGTCCACCCCATCACCTCTAAGAAGAATCTAAACTTTTTACTGAGCCCTCAGTGCCAAGAAATATTGACATCGCCTGAGGAACCTTTTTGCTTTCTCCTCTCAGTCACTGCGTATCATATAACTTAGCACGACTCTCTTGTAATGGCTGTCACACGTATTAGATGCAGTGTGCCAGCTGCTGTAACCCAGAGGATCCTTTATGTTCCACTGCTGGTCATTTCCTAGGAATCACATGAACACTATATTCTTGATTCTACTTTGCTAAGATGTTGGAGTTAGATTCAAAGTTTATTTCTCTCTAAGGGTGCCTGGGTGGCTCAATCGGTTAAGCATCTGACTTCGGCTCAGGTCATGATCTCAGTTTGTGGATTCGAGTCCTGGGTCAGGCTCTGGGCTGATAGCCGGCTCAGAGCCTGGGGCCTGTTTTGGATTCTGTGTCTCCCTCTCTCTTTGACCCTCCCCTGCTCACGCTCTCTCTCAGAAGAAAATTAAAAAAAAACTTTTTTTAAGTTTATTTCTCTCTAGATACTGAACTGATTTTTTAAAACATAAAGTTTATTTATTTTGAGAGACAGAGAGAGAATGTGAGCAGAGAAGCAGAGAGAGAGGAAGAAAAGGAGATTCCCAATCAGGCTCTGCACTGTCAGCACAGAACCCAGTGCAGGGCTTGAACTCGCCAACTGTGAGATCATGATCTGAGCCGAAACCAAGAGTCAGATGCTTAACCAACTGACTGAGCCACCCAGGCTCTCTAAATTTTTTACAAGCCTCTATCAATCCACTAGGGAAGAAAGGAGAGAATAACAAAAGACAAAATTCACCTGGGCATTGATCATTTTCTTCTGTTCTGAGAAATGGCCAGCAACTGGGATAGTCTGTCTTTGTCTCTTCTGGATATGTCCTAAATTTCTAGTTAGAAATCTAGTCGCCAGTCGAAAGTGCTCCAGAAATGACACTGTCTAGGTCCTGGAACCTCCTCTTTCTTAATTCATTTCTTGTCTCTTGTCAGGACCTGTAGGCCGAAGAGCAAAATTACTTTCAGTGTTACATCCTCTCTTGCTGTGCACTCACCTTGACATATGATCCCCAGTATTTGTGTCTATTTGGTTCCCCAGAAATCACACCTTAGCCATAAGACCCTGAAGTAGCAGGTAAAGGGAAGTGGCAAAGGAGATCAGAACATAACTATGCCTCAGTGGCAAGTAATTTTCAGATCAATTTTAGAAATAAGGCCATATGGACAGTGAGGAACAGTGAATTTTTCCTTTATGTTGCTCTCCTATCTCTTTACCCTATGTACATACGCTTCAATGTGCAGAACAACGAGCACCCCAGAGAGAGAGAGAGAGAATATGAGCTATAGAATCAAATTTTTAAAAAACCTCCAAAAATTAAAAATTCAAAGACAATTCAAAAATATAAATACTGAGGAGCGCCTGTGTGACTCAGTCGATGAAGTGTCCAACTTGGGCTCAGGTCATAATCTCTCAGTTCATGGGTTTGAGCCCCACCTTGGGCTCTGTGCTAACACTTTGGAGCCTAGAGCCTGCTTCGTATTCTGTATCTCCCTCTTTCTCTGCTCCTCTCCCTCTCACACTGTCTCTCTCTCTAAAAAAAAAAAAATAAACATAAAAAATTTAAAAATAAATACAGGGAAAATAGCAGAACTTACATGATATATATATAACCTGAGAGGAAATATCCAAAACAATACACAGCAAAATTACAGAAGGATCAACACAGAATCTTAAATATAAGCTTAATTTAAAAAAAAAAAAAGGCTAATTAATTCAAAATCTGCTGAATTCTTTATCTCCCCCAAAACTTTCATTTCCGGGTATTGAGATGGATGGAATGATGTGGGGAGCCAAAAGAGATTAGAAAATTATATGCAGGAGGAACTTGAACCTAAAGTTTTTCAGGAATGTTAACATTCAACACGTCTGTTCCAGGAGCCAGTCTGAGTCCAACGCAAGAACCAGCCAGGGCTCCTGAGCCTCCAAGCCTGCTGTCACACAATCCTGCAGAAAAGACAAGCCACGACCCCACCGGATCAATACCAAAACCAGATCAGCTGCATATGTAAACTGACCTCCCTTAATGGTTCCTCAATCACTAAGCTCCAAATTCTTGCAGAACCAGAGCCAAACGCCGCCTTCGTTGGCAAACACCACCCCACCAGTTGCCAATCACCTACAGGCTGAGTGACCTGCGAAGACCCTCAACCCTGACCTCAGGACTTTCAGTAGTTGATCTCTTGACACCTTTAATCACTGACCACCAGAGCCCCCCAGGATTGACCCCAAAGACATCTCTATTTCACACATTCAATACAGACTCCTCCGTGCTCACCTCCAAACACATACCCGCCCTGCCTTACCTTCACCGACTGAGGGGAGCAACAACTTACCTAGAGGCCGACAGGCCGTCCCTCTCCCCGCCTTTCCTACAAACCGACCCACACAATGACCTGAGTCTCTCCTGAACCTGCAGCGACCTCTTCAGGGTCTAACTTACTTCCCCAAACTTCCTTCCCTCTAGTTCCCTCGTCCAGCCTCCTCTGTCGGGAACACCTGACGAGGATCAGCGGCGTTTCTGGCGCGTTTCTATGGAGAACGGATACGGGTTTCCGGCTCTTCCTTATGAGGTCATACATCCGCGCGGCCGTCTCCTCGGGGCGCTGGGGGCCGCCATCTTGGCAAGCCTGACGTACGGAACCCTGGGCGGCGGTGTCGGCGCCGCGACGCGGGGGTGAGCGCGCGCCGCGGAAACCCTAGCACTCCCTGCCGCCCCCCAGGCCTCACAGGAAGATGGGGAGATGTTAAGTCTCGGGCTCACGCGAAGCAGACGTGACACGGCGGTAACCTTGGAAGGGACAGAGGGCCCTAGTTGTAGGGGACGCGGAACGGCGCCCAATTGACCAAGGCCAGAGCCCTTCGGCTCCTACCGCCGTGATGTCTCAGCTCGGCGGGAAATTAAAACCACCTTCGGGCACCTCGGCCTCGGTTCTCATTAAGAAAAGCCTCGGAGGCCGTGTAAAAGCTAAGCAGGCTTGCCAGGAAAGCAGGAGGTGCGCCGTGGCCGGAGACGGTTGCGCCCCGGGGCGAGTGCCCGTCGGCCGGGAGGCAGCCGGCGCTTCCGGGAGCTCCGCGAGGGTGCCGGGGAGACCACGGTTTGGAAAAGTCACTCGGGGTGGAGGCATTCGGCGGTCGCAGAGAAAGCAGAACTTCCGGACATTGCGAGCCTCTTGCCAGCCTCATCCCATCCATGTCTCTCACTCATCCCAGGCAGCCGCTTCTGCCCCTAACGATTCGGGGCGCCTGGGTGGCTTCGTCAGTGCAGCATGGGACTTTGGTTCAGGTCATGCTCTCACGGTTTGTGGGTTCCAGCCGGGAATCAGGCTCTGTGTTTCCCTCTCTTTACCTGCCCTTCCCCCACTCGTGCTCCGTCTCTCAAAAATAAATAAATGTTAATTCAAAAAATTATAAAGATTAGTCTGCAGCATATTCATGAAATTAGTCGTGTATGTACTTATGTGCTCCTTTTTCTGGCTTCTTGTACACAGCATAATTGCCTTTGGGTTGTTTCCAGTTTTGGATATTGCACCAGTTGTGAACATTCACGTGTAGGAAATAAAATGAGCACAAAAAGCAGATTGACCACAGCCCTGTGTATCTGCATCGCTACACGGAGACATGTTTGCCAGCCATTTGCAGGCCTACTTCCCATTTCTAGCCCTGCTCTGGCTCATATTCTCCTCTCCATCCCCACCCTCCAATGCCAGTTCCTGAGCTTAGAAGTCTTCCCCACCCGAGGAACCAGAGATCTCAAGAACACAGGCTGTGTCACAGACGCCAGGTTAATCTGTTTGCCCCTGTATGTTCAAACCTGTAGGCCCTTATAATTTTCATATTGCACCTGATAAAGTCCTGTAACCACAGGTTAAAGCACAAAAACAGTTCCATCTTCACACTCCCCCATCATTACTATGCTGGCCGAGTCTGCCACGTGGTACTAAAACTGTCCCTGCTTGCACCGTTGGTCCGTGCTAGCTCCTTTTCATATAGCAGGCAAAGTGATCCTTGTAAAACACAACTCAATCATGAAAATTTTCCTGTTCTCAGTTATCTAATGACTGCGTTACAGAATAAAATCTCAAGTATTGAGATAACCAAGTTTAAGAGCTTAAAAATATATGTTGAGGTGGGGCACCTGGATGGCTTAGTCCATTGAACACATCCAACTTCAGCTCAGGTCATGATCTCGCATTCCTGGGTTCCTGCCCCACCTCCGGCTCTGTGTTCACAGCTCAGTACCTGGAGCCTGCTTTGGATTCTGTGTCTCCCTCTCTATCTGTCACTCCTTGCTCATGCTCTCTCAAAAAATAAAATAAAAATGTAAAAAAAAATGTGTTGGGTTGAATTCACCCCTTAATCCAGGGTTTCTGATGGAAATGTAAAACAGCTACTGCGTAGCAAACATCCATTTTTTCTCTAACCAGGACTCAAGCAGAATATCTTTATGATCAAGAGGAAGACTCTGGAAAGAAGAGAGAGGACAAGAGCCCCACTCTTAAGAGGAAAAAGGAATAGAAAGAACAAACCACATGTGCTGTTACGCAGGTCACAGAGGAAATGGGAACTCAAATTACAGCAACTTTCAAGGCGACAGGGCTGTGAAAAATTTAAGGGTTCTCCAGTACACCCAAGAGGAATCTTACCCCTTTTCATATCCCAGCTTTTCTCCATCTTAGACTGAGGTTCTCATGCTTTTTATTTTGCTTCTCTGGGGATCCCATTCCTCTTCTCCCCCTTTCATAGGCAAACATTTAGCCTAACAACATACATATACACAGGATTTTTTTTTTTTTTAAACAATTCCATTCTTTAGAACTGCCTTACAATTGCTCATTCTTTGCACTGATAGGACATTTTCTTTATAGTCCATTCACCATCTTCCAAATAACATATAATCCCTTTAATTCTTCTGTGTCACAAAGAATGTATGACCCTATAAAGCAGCACCAATCAACAGACGGTTCTGTGATGATGTAATACATCTGTATTGTCCAACATGGTAGTCACTAGCCACATATAACTACTGAACTCTTGGAATGTGAACTCTTGATTTTGAGGAAATACATGTTTAATTTTAATTAATTTACATTTAAATAACCACATGTAGCTAATGGCTACTGAATTAGTACAAAACTATCAAGGAATGTATAACCAATGTGGGGAAATAAGACATAGGCATTTCTAAAAAACATATTTGTATCCTGAATTATATGTTATTTTTTTCTTTCCAAGTTTTGATTTAAATTCCAGTTAATTAACATACAGTGTAATACTAGTTTCAGGTGTAGAATTTAGTGCCTCATCACTTAATACAACATCCAGTGATCATCACAAGTGCACTCCTTAATCCCTATCACCTATTTAATCCATCCCTCCCTGCCCTTCCTCCAGTAACCGTCAGTTTGTTCTCCATAGTTAAGAGTCTGTTTCTTGGTTTGCCTCTTTGTTTTTCTCCACTATGTTCATTTATTTCTTAAATTCCACATGAGTGACATCATAAGGTATTTGTTTTTCTCTGACTTATTTTGCTTACCATAATACTCTCTAGCTCCATCCACATCGTTGCAAATGGTAAGATTTCACATTTTTTTGGTGGCTAATATTCCACTGTATATATATACCACATCTTCCTTATCCATCAGCTGATTATTTATACATTGTTAATAGGAGTCCTTCCCTTGTCTCCCATTCAAATACTCTCCTTGGGGAAAAATGTATTTAGGATCTTTCTAACTCCACATTATTTTAAATACAAACCCCATGATCCAGTATTTCACACCTATTTCACCTAATGTAGAGTTTATATACTCTGAGTATGGTAGATGAAGTGTGAAGATACCACTTACATATAATTCAGCTAACTTAACACTCATTCCAGGAGGGCAAAGACATTTTGTTCACCTCTGTGTCCTTAATACTGGTAGAATAATACTGGGTACAAAGGAGGTACTTCACAAATCTTCACCGAATGAACAGTGATTATTGTATGGCTGTTTCTCAGGTGACTTCACATAATATAAAGTCCTGAAAATCTGTGAAAGGGGCACCACTTTTCAATTAATCCTCCACACTATCCTCAGGAAACACACTATCCTCAGGAAATTGAACAGATACATGTTCCCCAAACTCCACTCGTCAAATATTGCTTTTTCCTATCAACCAACTCTATATTATAAAGATTTTCATTCCTAGCAACATCCAGATACCAACTACCATATCTCATATTCACAGCAGTGTTTTGCTTCACTTATGATCTCAGGCATTCCAGATTAGTTGACAAAACTGAGCAATCAGTGTGGAAGCTAGAGAATATTATGCTGAGCAAAATAAGTCAGAGAAAGACAGATACCTTATGATGTCACCCACGTGGAATATAAGAAACAAATGAACATAGGGGAGGAAACAAAAGAGGCAGACTGAGAAACAACAGGGTTACTAACATCAGACTATGTCTCTGTATCAACAATATATAGAGAGAATGAAATTTATCAGGCTTTCCCGGTCTCTGCATTCATAGTTCTCTCAAAGTACACTTAACTATATAATAGCCAGGAATTTTTTTGTTCACTGTTTGTCTTCTCTGAAGATATCTGTTTCCTTCCTATAGGTTTTTTTTTTGAGACATAGTATGTGAAATAATGAACCACTGAAGGCACAGTTACATTTATAAGATTTTTGTTCCCCTAGGCAGATTTTCTGCTATCTCTGGAGGGCCCAATCTAGCAAGAGGTGTTCCAAAAGGACTATGTTCCTATCTGCTAGGAGCCCACTGCTATTTAATAATGTCTGAGAGGTGACAGAAGGCATTTCCACAGTCACCAAATTAAGAGTTTCACTTCTAAGAAGCTGTGACTCTGTGGAAGGGTTTTCCACTTTTATGAATCTATGTTTCTCCTTCATGTGTGTTTACGTTTAATAAAGCAAGACTTGTAAGCAAAAGCTTTCCCATACCCAGTGCATTCATAGATCTCTCTCCTGAAGGAATTCTTTAATGCATAATGAGAAGTTGCTTCCTGATGGTTTTCCCACATTCCCTACATTTATGAAGTTTCTTTCCTGCGTGCATTTTCTGATGTGTAATGAGAAATTACTTCTGAGAACAGGACTTTTTCTTTTTCTTTTTTTAATTTTTTCATGTTTATTTATTTTTTGAGAGAGAGACAGATCATGAGTGAAGAGGGGCTGAGAAAGAGGGAGACACAAAATTCGAAGCAGGCTCCAGGCTCTGAGCTGTCAGCACAGAGCCCTACGCCGGGCTCGAACTCACAAACCACAAGATCAAGACCTGAGCCGAAGCTGGACACTTAACCAACTGAGCCACCCAGGTGCCTTCTGAGGACAGAATTTTCTACAGTCCCTACATACAAAGGAAGCCGTGTTTGTATGAATTCCCTGATGTCATCAGAGGCCCACCTTGTGGATGAAGCCTTGTCCACATTCATTGCATATAGGGGGTTTCTCCCGCAATACAAGTTCACCAATGTACAACAAAACTAACCTTCTGGGTGAAGCCCTTTCCACAATCATACATAGGGTTTCTCTCAGGTATGAGTTTTCTAAAGTAAAATGAGATGTCATTTAATGAGCAAGGTTCTGCCACATTTAGTACATCAACGGGGTTTTCTCGTCTTCCATTTCTCTTGTGTATAATGACTTATGACTTCCTATAAAATAGGCTTTGCCACATCACCTATAGAAGGCTTCTTCCCTGTATGAATTTTCTGGTGTTCAGTGAGCCTGAACTTTGTGGTATGTGCTTTCCCACATGTACTGTATCCATGGGGTTTTTCTCCCCAGTGAACCCTCTCATGTTTTGTGAGCTGAGAGTTTCTGATGAAGGATTCCCCACATTCACTGCACATGTGCATTTCCCAATTTTGTGAGCCTTCTGATACTTACAAATGGGAGTCTTAGTGCTGATGGGTTTTCCAATTTCAGGCAATTTTAGTATGAATTTTCTCACACTTTGTAAGGAGAAAGGATTTCTCATCTCCACTACACTCAACAAGGTTCTTTATTTCACAGCCTCTGCTTTAACTGGCTGAATTTAAATTTGATTTCAGAGTTTCCCCTAATTTTGCCTTAAAGGAAAATGATGGTGGTCCAGACGGACAATATTTTCAAAAGCATTATGTTCACAGCACCGTTCCATATCTAGTTGTCTTTAGGCACCTCCAGCTACGCAAGTGTCACAGTAGATGATCATCAACTTCCTCGGCTTCTATGAAAGAAGAGAACAATGAATGCCTAGGTGTGGACTGGCCAATCTTTAGTGTTGACAGTGTGATCTCAGTGTAAGAGTCTCTAATAATGTTCCTTATTTCTTGAACATTGGTTAAAAATAATACACAAAAATCAAGAGGCAAAAGCAAAAAGCATACAAACAAGTTTAGATAATTCACAGTGAATAACTATAGAGTTGGCTGCTTTCTAAGTAGCATCTTACAAAACAAGCAGAGAGAGTAAAAATAAGAAAGTCACTGTTAGAAAACACAGGTGGAAGGAAAACTTCCTCCAGCATTATGAGGGCTGCATTCAGTCTTTCCACAAATCCTTATAAAATGCCTGTCAGGTACTGGCCACAGTGCTGGTGTTGGGGACACATGAACGTATTATTTGGAGTTTACATTCTAGGTAAGGAAAATGAACTAAGCAAAGAAAAAAGGGAGGCAGGAGCACCTGGTGGCTCAGTCGGTTAAGTGACTCATTTCAGCTCAGGTCATGATCTCACGGCTCATGAGTTCGAGCCCCGTGTCGGGCTCTGTGCTGACAGTTCAGAGCCTGGAGCCTGCTTTGGATCTGTGTCTCCCTCTTTCTCTGCACCCTCCCCCCCACTCACGCTCTGTCTCTCAAAAATAAATATTAAAAAAAGAAAAAACAAAAAAGGGCGGCAGCTGCAAATTATGAGAAGTGGTTAGAAGAAGCAAAGGAGATGAAGAGGTGGAGGAAATGAGGACACACTGGAGTAAGACAAGTCTCACTGGTGAGTTCAAAATGGGAGGAGAAAAGACATGAAGACTTAAGGTTCACTCCTAAATATTTTGCTGGAGTCAAGAGGTAGGTGGAAACTTTCTTCAAGAGGGTGGATGTTACTGAGGTTCAGAATGTGGGGGAAATAAGTGGACTTTCTGAAGCATAAAAACATTTTGATTTTTTTTTAACATTTATTTATTTTTGAGAGACAGAGAGAGACAGATCATGAGCAGGGGAGGGGCAGAGAGAGACACACACAGAATTGGAAGCAGGCTCCAGGCTCTGGGAACTGTCAGCACAGAACCCGACGCAGGGCTCGAACCCACAAACTGTGAGATCATGACCTGAGCCGAAGTCAGACGCTCAGCCGACTGAGCCATCCAGGTGGCCCCACTTCGATTTTTATCAGACAGCAAGGTTCCAGTACCCAGTTGGATATATAAATGTTGAGAACTGGCCTGAGTGGACACAATGATGCAGAAAGCATCAGTATGTAAATATTTAAGGATAAAGGATAAGCTGAGGTCATGTTCAGAGAATGCAAAGACTGAAAGAAAGTTGAGGAAAAGGACCAAGATGTTAGTCCCTCAAACATTCAGACTTCTGGTTTGGAAGATCCCAGCAAAGGAGACAAACAGACTATGGTGGTCAAAGACTTGTTACGAACATCTCAGAGAGGCAATTCAGAATGCTGGGCCCTCTGTAGTTGAGCTTGACATAGCTGTGATACTCTTGGGGGGGTTGTCCGCTTTCTAAAATGTACCCTTTTCTTCATTCTGCAGAGCACCATCACCCTGGTCATACAACATTGAAAGAGAGACTATTATCTTCACACTCCAGCTTTTAGTCAAGTTGGGGCACGTTCCTGAAGAAAGGGGCAAAGATGAGAGAGAATGAGCATCCAGGAAATTCCACCAGCCTGGTGGACATGCAGACTTCTCCAGGGACAGATGTGCTTCCACATGGGAGAAGAAGACTGTCAACTTCAGTCACATTCTGCATGCTGTACCTATACAGATGTCGCATCTGATTTCCTCCCATTTTGACATCCCTACGACACTGACCCCTCATCTTGCAAAGGACTACATCTTCTTCCATAATTCCGCACTTCTGTCTCCGTGTTGGCCTCAGTTAAGCAGCCTAAAGGACCACTTGCCTCCTTCCGAACCAAGACTCGGGTAAGCGATAGGTTGTTTTTCCTACAACCTCTGGCCCTCCCAATCAGCTGCCACCAGGTAGAAATTAAGGCAACCCAAAACTGAAATAACAAAACAACAAAAAACCCCTACCATTCATCATGCTACCTCAACTAGTTTTTTAATTACTAATACATAAAGTCTCAACAGTCAGCCTGGCAATAAAAGTTAACATTGCCTTGGGGCGCCTGGGTGGCTTAGTTGGCTAAGCCTCCAACTTTGGCTCAGGTCACGATCTCACAGTTTGTGAGTTCGGGCCCCGCATCAGGCTCTCCACTGATGTGGAGCCTGCATGGGATTCTCCCTCTCCCCACCCTCTCTATGTCCCACCCCCACTCGTACTTTCTCTCTCTCTCTCAAATAAATAAACTAAAAAAAAAAAAGTCAACATTGCCATGATTACCCCATTTACCTGTTTCCATTCCAGTGCTCCCCCCAAAATACCCTCTGACACTGGTCTTTGCGAAACTTCAGGCTGATCTGTGGCAATCTTGGCCCTGGGCTTGCAGATTTCCTACTATTTATGCCTCTGTTCTTTGTCCTTTATTATGTTCTTTATTTAAAATCAAGGTATGCTCCTACATAACCTGCCATTATTCTCCAGGCTCTCTATATAACTGCAGGTTCCATTTCCTCTAGATTTCCACAGTATCACATCTCTGCTAATCATTTTGACATGTAACCTCAACCTTGAATTCTAGCAACAATACTTTATGCTCAAAACCTGTACTGCATATAGATTTTCATGGATCCATGTCCTATATTCACCACAAACATCTTTGCTACTAGGTGGTATTTCTTTGCTTCCTCTGAAATTCAGCATTGTAGCTGTGAGTCCCCAAATAAAGTGCTGCAACAGCAACCTCATAGAATATCAGATAGTGACATCCCCAGACTTGTACCAGAGATCTAATCACCCAGGCTGAGAGAGAGAGGACTGGATGCATGTATTATCTCCAACAGAAGCCTTGGATTTAAGAAATTTTTGAAAAATGGGGCAGCTGGGTGGCTCAGTAGTTAAGTGTCTGACTTCACCTCAGGTCATGATCTCACAGTCTGTGAGTTCAAGCCCTGCATCAGGCTCTGTGCTGACAGCTCGGAGCCTGGGGCCTGCTTCAGTTTCTGTGTCTCCCTCACTCTCTTCTCTCTCTCTCAAAAATAAACAAACATTTAAAAAATTTAAAGAAATGTTTGAAAAATAGATACGATGTTTTCAAGATTGGGTGTTTCAATGCTGTGGGCACAAAATACTAAGAGAATTCATAGAAGGAAGACACGAGGGAGCCGTTAGAGACCATTTCATGAACAGAGAATTCAAACTGCAGCAATACACACACACTCAACTGTATGACTGGGACGACAGCACTAAGATCACATCCCTGTCCCTTAGTTTATATCTTGCTTGCTGAATCAGCAACTCCAGATAACATTTATGCTCTTACTTTCCTGAAAGACATCTTTGTTCTGCTTCTGGAGAAACAGCCTCTCTTAGATTTTCCAACCTCACCACCCCTTTCTTAATTTCCATTGCTCTTTCTTTTTTTCAAATTCATTTTTAAGAGAGAGAGAGAGACAGGGTGCAAGCAGGGGAGAGGCAGAGTGAGAGGGAGACACAGAATCTGAAAGCAGACTCCAGGCTTGTACTCTCAGCAGAGCCCGAAGTGAGGCTCGAACCCACAAACCGTGAGATCGTGACCTGAGCTGAAGTCAGACACTTAACCGGCTGAGCCACCCAGGTGCCCCCATTGCTCTTTCTTACCCTCCTTTAGTAGGTTGTCATTTTTCTAAATTGTTAGAAGATCCTAAACTTAAAAAAAAAAAAAAAGTTGGAAGAAATTTTCTCGTGGAGAAAGTGATTTTAGTTCCTTACTAAAAAGTCTGAATTCATTTAGGAGTTTCTGTGAACTTAGGAGTTTTTATCGAGGATAAGAGCTTACCTCACAAATTGAAGGAAAAGTTTAAGGACAGGAAAACAGAACAAGAAATGGAAAACAGAACCTTTGGACAATTTCCGAGCGGGGAAAGAGAAGTGTCTTATTAGTTTATTCAGGTTGCTAGAACAAAAAAGGACAGAAATGTATTTCATATTTCTGGAGGCTGGGAAGTCCCAGATCAGGGTACCAGTGTCTGCGAGGCCTGCTTCCTCATGGGCAGTACCTTCTAGCCGCAACCTAATATGGCAGAAAGGGCAGGACCCTAATGACCTTAGGGTCACCTAAGGCCACACCTTCCAACACCATCACCTTGGGGATCAGGATGTCAACATCTGAATCTTGAGAGGACACTAAGAAGCCATGGAAACACAGAGATCAGATTGCAGTGTGGACAGAGCATCCAAAGCAAGGCTGAAGGCTAGGAAGGGAACTCACTAGTTTGCAATAAAGCAGTTACATGAACCAGTTGGAAGACTATCTTGAATTCAAAGAGCTACGTTTTGAGTAATGCCTAGAAGGTGGAATATCATAGCAAGGGAGGTGTGGAAGAAGTACTTACAAACACTACGACAGTGGATAAAAAAGAGTTGAGAAATGTAGGAAGAAGAGAACTAAGCAAACAATGACAAAAAAATGAAGATGGGAATGCCCAGTTGGCTCAGTCGGTACATCATGTGACTCTTGATCTCAGGGTCATGATTTCGAGCCCCATGTTGGGTATAGAGGTTACTTTAAAAAAATAAAATAAAATCATTAGGGGCACTTGTGTGGTTCAGTTGTTAAGCATCTGACTTCAGCTCAGGTCATGATCTCTCAGTTCACAAGTCTGAGCCCCACATTGGGCTCTGTGCTGACAGCTCAGAGCCTGGTGCCTGCTTCTCTCTCTCTGCCTCTCCCCCACTCATACTCTGTCTCTCTCTCTCTCAAAAGTAAATAAAACATTAAAATAATAATAATAATAAAATCTTTTTTAAAAATCAAGAGGTACATAAAATGAACAGGGGTTGGCTCTTAGAAGAAGAAAAGGGGCATATTTTCCTCTCAATTCCTACAAAGAAGCTCTCATCAGGGAAGGACACGAGGCGCGGCTATTTAGACATCCTCAGACACCCCCACAGCCCTGGAACCTTCCCTGGCTGATTAGACTGTGACTTCTTAGGCCATGCACTTTGCTGTTGTCATTCGCTCACCTGGACGGGTTCCGCTGTACACTTCCTCTTCTGTCGCCCACGGTTCTTCCCCTCGTTCTGGCTTGGAGAGCGCGTCTGGTTGGCTGGCTTGATGCCCTGCTCGTGGGAAAGACAGATTTCTAAATGGGCTTGGCTCTGTCAGGGTGGGAGGACACTACATTTGAGGGACTGACAGGTTTCACATCTGCACAACAGGGGCTTTTCTCTCACAGGAGAAGACACATTATACACCTTTGTCTGAAGCCAGAAAAGGACCTGAGAATCTACCACTAGAAAGCGCTGCAGATACTCTGAAGCGTTAAGCAGCTGACAGAGGAAAGGCCACTGATGGGGACCATCTGAGTGACAGGGGAGCCATCCTCACCCAATGACACCAGGTTCCTGTAGTTCTCCAACATCAAATCCTGTCAGGTTCTTCTGAGCAGAGGGCAGGAGCTGCCACTCCTCCCACGTGAAGTCCATGGTCACGTCCTCTAGTGTCAGTGATTTCTGTAATAACATGGTCCTGTTTAATAGGACTGTTTCCCTTTTATTATTATTTTTTTAAGATTTTATTTTTTCTTGGGGCACCTGGGTGGCTCAGTTGGTTAAGCGTCTGACTTCGGTTCAGATCATGATCTTATAGTTTGTGGGTTGGAGCACCCCATGTCGGGCTCTGTGCTGATAGCTCAGAACCAGAGCCTGCTGGGGATTCTGTGTCTCCCTCTCTATCTGCCCCTCCTGTTCTGTCTCTCTCAAAAATAAACATTAAATTAAAAAGAAAAAGGTTTACTCTTTCTTAAGTAATCTCTATACCCGTCATGGGGCTGAAACTCACAATCCTGAGATCAAGAGTCCTATGCTCTACTGACTGAGCCAGCCAGGTGCCCTCCCTTTTGATACAGGAAGGAATGTAAAGGAAGTTATTCTGGTTTTTTTTTTTTAACCATATGGGCTACGTCAGTACAAGCAGTTTTTTTAAAAAATACTTTGTAGAAGGAAAATACTATTGGGGTATTCTGCATTTATACATTCAGTAGTCCATTTATTCAACAAGTCAGAAATTTCTGTAATAAGTTGATAGGATACTCTTGCTAACGGAGAATCATATACATGAGAGCACCTACTTGTCAAACATTATACATTTGGGTGATATCAAGATTAAGAAAACATATTATTACACTCATCAAGGGCCTTCCCAGACTTGGTGGATCTAAATTAACCAAGTAGAGACAATAGATGACAGAATGACAAGATATGACATGTTTAATAAGTGTGTTTAAAAGGATTTCTTTTTTTAATGTTGCAAGGTGGAGCACCTGGGTGACTCAGTCAGTTAAGTGTCTGACTCTTGGTTCAGCTCAGATCGTGATCTCATGATTCGTGGGCTCAAGCTCCACATCAGGCTCTGCACTGACAGTGTGAGGCCTGCTTGGGATTCTCTCTCTGCACCCCCCTCTCAAAATAAGTAAATAATTTTTTTTCAATATTGCAAGCAGTATTTTCAAATGTCTAAGGATTAGGAACTATAAAGAGACAAGTAGGCAGCTTTGAGGAACAGTATTTCTGAAAAAAGCAGCAGCCCTATAGGTTGAAAGCACATTAGAGGCATTGAAGGGATGATTAGTGAACTAGAAATTCCCCGAAATGCAGCACAGAGCTAATGCAGCTACGGAGGATATTCTGTAAGACCATGAAAATTTGCTCACGGGACTCAGAACTCACTGAAAGCTGGGACACTTAGTTTACAGCTTATTATGTTAAAGGATATAGATTAACATCAGCCAAGAAAAGTGGTGCAAAGGGCAGAGCACAGGCAAGTTCCAAACACGGAGCTTCCAGCTGTCCTTCCACAGAGGGGTCATGGGCAGCGTTACTTCCTCGGCATGAACAACAGAAGGCAGGGGAAACTGCCAACAGAAAGCTCTCCTGAGCCTTGATGTCCACTCTGGGGGGGGGCTCGATCACCTCAGCTGGGCAGGACACATGCACGCCTGCCCTCAGTCTCCAGCCTCTTCAGGGGTGTGCTGACACACGGCCTCATCCCAAGTTGCGCTGTGGCTTTTCCTTTGCTGTTTTAATCTCTATCCTTTCTATCTGAAATGTAACCTTGAGTATAAGAGGCTTTCTGAGTTCTGAGTCTTCTTAGCAAATTAGCAAATCTGAGGGGGTCTTGGGGACCTGCACTGTAAAAGGGAGCTCACTTGTTTGAATATATATACAATATATGGACAAATATTAACCATTACATATACATATATGTTGGGGCTCCTGGGTGGCTCAGTCAGTTAAGCGTCTGACTTCGGCTCAGATCATGATCTCACAGTTAGTGAGTTCGAGCCCCACGTCGAGCTCTGTGCTGACAGCTCATACTCTGCTCGCTCTCTCTCAAAAATAAACTAAAAAATAAATATATTTATTTCTATAAATACTCTCTGCTCACACTCTGTCTCTCTCAAATATAAACATTAAAAAATTTTTAATAAAAAAATACATATACACAGACATACACACATATTGCTTTTACTTTTTAATAAACAACCTACTTGATTCATGTATGAATTTTTTTTAAGTGTATTTATTTATTTTGAGAGAGAAAGCACAAGCAGAGGAAGGGCAGAGAGAGAGGGAGAGAGAGGATTGCGAGCAGACTCCATTCTGTCAGCACAGAGCCCAACATGAGGCTCAAACTCACAAACTGTGAGATCATGACCTGAGCCAAAGTCAAGAATTGGTCACTTAACCAACTGAGACATCCAGGCACCCCCATGTATGAATTTTAAAGATAAAAGTTTCAAATGACTGGATGGATGGATGGATGGATAGATAGATAGATAGATAGATAGATAGGCAGGCAGGCAGGCAGGCAGGCAGGCAGGCAGGCAGACAGATAGACAAGACAGTCTGTAGGCCCAATTTCTAGGTCCTCTCCCTTCCCTGAAAGCTCCAAGCTTCTGGTCATGGGTGATGGTCCTTCTGGTGGCCAGCCCCAAACCAGGAGCCATCTGGGAACTCACCAAGAGTCACCTTATTACAAAAAAAGACTCTTTCTTTCTTTCTTTTTTTTTTTTTTTTAAAGAGAAAGCATGAGCATAAGCAGGGAAGGGGCAGAGACAGGAAGAGAGAAAATCCCAAGTATGCTCCGTAGCAGAGCCCCATGTGGGCTCAATCCCACAAACCATGAGATCATGACCTTAGCCGAAATCAAGAGCCAGGCGCTTAACCCACTGAGCCACCCAGGTGCCCCAAACAAAAGAGACTTACACCACCCAGGAAATTCCAAGCGATTCAACAGCTCTGAGTAAGACGCTCCAATCACCCCCATTGCTCAGGAAATTACAAGGGTTTTAGAAGCTCTGTGTCAGGAACTGGGAGCAGAGACAAAACTATGTATTTCTCATTAAGTCACACTAAGCCTCTGGAATCAAATAGCTTACTCAGAACAACTTTAACTTAACCTTACCCACATTCTGTAATTTTCCTGCATCCTCCAGATTCACAGGGCCTCTTGCTGCCTGGCCTGCATCTCAGATATCAAGGCAATTTAGTTGAGGCCACAGAAACTTCATACTTGATTCTTGGCAACACCATCAGGGGAAACGGTGCACAGCTGAAATGCATGGATACTCGTGGACAGAGATCAGTGAATGCAGCTCCTAAGAGTGTGTCCCAGGGCACACTCCTCCAAAAATCAACTCTCCTTTCTGCTTGAGCCTTCATGGTCCGTAAAGCACTTTCAATACAACCAAATCTCTTCTGTTACCAATAGTGGCTGTGTCTTGTCATTGTCCCCCAGGGACCAGCTGCTTTTCCAGCAAATGCATGTGTTTGTGTAATATATGTACAAGTGTGCATATATATACACACACGTAACTAGTCCCTGAAGAGGGATTCTGAAGGACTCCGGAGAAAGTAACATTCACCAAGTCTATCTCAACAGCCCAGAGGTCCTGGGCCTCTAAAGCTTCAGCCTCTCAACCACAAACACACATGGACCTCCCCCAATACTGACATACAGCCCTATATTAATCCTCAAACTGGAAAAGACACCACCATTAACTGGTGACCTGCCAGCTCAATCCATAAGCCCAATAAAAATTTCCAAATTTGAATGGCATTCATGGACAAATACGACTGTTCCTCACTCCCCAAATCCTCATGTTCAAATAATAACGTCCAGTACCTCAGAATGTGACTGGATTTGGAGATAGGGTCTTTGAAGAGGTAATTCTGCTGAAATGAGGTCATAGGCTGGGCCTTGATCCAACATAACTGGTCTTCTTATAAGAAATTTGGGGGGGCACCTGGGTGGCTTAGTCGGTTAAGCGTCCGACTTTCGCTTGGGTCATGATCTCGCGGTTCGTGGGTTCGAGCCCCGCGTCGGGCTCTGTGCTGACTGCCAGCTCAGAGCCTGGAGCCTATTTCAGAGTCTGTGTCTCCCTCTCTCTTTGACCCTCCCCTGCTCACACTGTCTCTCTCTCCTAGAAATAAATAAAAATATTTAAAAAAAAAAAAAAAGAAAGAAATTTGGGGGCACCTGGGTGGCTCAGTGGTTAAGCGTCTGACTTCAGCTCAGGTCAGGATCTCGCAGTTCACAAATTTGAGCCCTGTGTCGGGCTCTGTGCTGACAGCTTGGAGCCTGGAGCCTGCTTCAGATTCTGTGTCTCCCTTTCTCTCTGTCCCTCTCCGGCTCACACTCTGTCCACTGCCCCACCCTCCCCAGCAAAATAAATAAACATTAAATAAAAGAAGACAGGGAGTTTGGGTGGCTCAGTCAGTTAAGCATCTGACTTTGGCTCAGGTTATGATCTCACAGTTCATGAGTTCGAGTCCCACCTTGGGCTCTGTGCTGACAGCTCAGAGCCTGCTTCCAATTCTGTGTTGCGCTCTCTCTCAAAAATAAACATTAAAAAACTTAGTTAATAAAAAAAGAATTTGGACTAGATACACAGAGGAAAGACTACATGAGGACACAGGAAGGAGGTGGCATCTACAAATTGAGGAAAGACCGTGGAGGGAACCAACCATGGGACCTTGATCTAGACTTTAGCTTCCAGAATTGAGAAAGAAATGTCTATTGTATAAATCAGACATTGCTCTGTTATGACAGCCCAAGCAGACTAGTACACCCACCCTGCTGTGCCAGACAAGGCAGAGTGACCCATGTAGAGTCCAAGCCCTCAGACCTTAAGACCCTTACCCACCCTGTGCAACAGCTGAGAACATGGTACCTGGACCCAAGGAGAAAGTGATAAGGCTTCAAAGGTACAAAAGCAGCCCCCTAAAATACAGAAGATGGAAATGGAGCATTCCAGAGTAGTAAGTAACCAAACAACGCCATCATCATCTGGCAGTTGGCACACTTACTCAGTAACAGGATTTTTATGAAGGTAAGGGAGTAGAGTCCTAGAGGATATAAACAGACTTTGCCTTCTCAAAGAGGACCATCTGGAATTATCTTTCCTACTAAAATGTTTTATTTACCTGGGAATCCAGCCTTGGAGAGGTGAGTTCACCACCTGGGCCTCAGGGTTCAAGGCAGGCCTGGGCAGCCCACTCAGGGACTCTGACTGAAGATTTAAGTAGAAAGATGCAGGGGCGCCTGGGTGGCTCAGTTGGTTAAGCATCCGACTTCGGCTCAGGTCATGATCTCACGGTTCGTGGGTTCGAGCCCCACGTTGTGCTCTGTGCTGACAGCCAGCTCAGAGCCTGGAGCCTGTCTTCGGATTCTGTGTCTCCCTCTCTCTCTCTGACCCACCACTGCTCATGCTCTCTCTCTCTCAAAAATAAAGAAAACATTAAAAAAAAAGAAAGAAAGATGCAGACCATCATGAGAGGCCCTGCAGATTTGCAACATGAAGAGTGGAGATGACCTGAAGCCTGAGTCGAACAAGAGTCCATTTCTGAATCTTTGAAGAGTGTCTGCCCCAAATCCATCCTGCTAGATGCCATTATTTTGTATGTTTTGTTCACTAGAGTGTACCTCATGTCTACAACAGTGCCTGGCACATTGCAGGCACTCAAAAAAAAAAAAAAAAAAAAAAAAAAGAAGTCTGTTGCAGTAAATTCGTCAAAAACCCAGAGTTGGGAATTTGATGATGAGAGCCATTTGACGGCAAATTTCCACTTTTTTTCCCTTGTAAGCAGCACTCAGCTTTTAAGCTGGATAGATCTTTCCTGAAGCAAAGGCAAGAACCCCGAGTACAGGAGACAGGACATAGGCCCGTTCCCAGGTCAGTGAGCACGATGAAGCTACATCACATTCCAGTTCATCACATCACAAAGGAGCCGGGATCCCGGAGATGACAAACGAGGGTCAGGGCTCTTCACGGCTAGAAGAAATCTCACCTCCATCCATCTAACACACTGCCCTGTTAGAAGAGATGTCATTTTCTAACAATTGAGCTTGCTCTGAGGATCCTATTCCTTCTGTGATCCTCCCCTTCTCTATTGTCAGGGGCCTCTAGTCAGGATTTTTTTTTTTTAATTTTCTGATCTTTGAAATTTCTTTCCTGTGGCTCCTTTCCTTCAGTGAACACAAATCTGCTTAATTGATCTGTCCACTGGGTCATTCATTTAGGCCATACATTTTCTTTCAACAGCCTTTCAAAGCCATGGGAATTGTTTCCAGTTTGCTATGTGCAGGGGAATATATGAATATCTATAAATTATCCAGATAGGAATTTATAATCCAGGTAGAAAGATATGAATCTGCTAAAAAGTATCCATATCCTATTTTACACGCATAAAACCAAGTGAATCCTTTCCCCTTCCCTCTCCAAATAATAACATGCCCCTTGAACAAGAAGTGACCAGGATACTTTGTACCTTCTATCCCATGTCCGTTTCAACTAATTGTAGGTGTAACCATCCTTTGATTACATGTGCCAGAGGGTCAAATAGCTATATGCATGTAATCCAGATTAAAAAGAAAAGAGAGGGGCGCCTGGGTGGCTCAGTCGGTTAAGCATCCGACTTCGGCTCAGGTCATGATCTTGTAGTTTGTGGGTTCGAGCCCTGTGTCGGGCTCTGTGCTGGCAGCTAGCTCAGAGCCTGGAGCCTATCTTCGGATTCTGTGACTCCCTCTCTCTCTGACCCTCCCCTGCTCACACTGTCTCTATCTCTCAAAAATAAATAAAACATTTAAAAAAAATGCCAGTTCAAAGGCAGCAAGGACTCTTACTTAGTTCGCTACTGTCAGCATCTGTAGCTCATACTTTACCAAGTAAAGGAAATAGCTAATGAAAGGTTTTCTGAGTGATGTGTGTACTGGATGGGAATTGTCTTCTAGGTAAAGAACTTGGCTGATAGATAATTCAGGAATTCCGAGCAGTTGTTCCTTTGGGGGATATTTACAAAGTCAAACATATCCAAATATGCCATGGTACATTACTGAATTAAATGTATTCACCTTCCATTTGAAGGACTTCAGCAGTCTAAAATAAACTGAATAAATTTAGAACCAAAGAAATACAAGAGCTAACCAAATAATGACCCTGGGTTGGAATGAAAGATTCATGCCCCCCCCCAGAAAAGGGGGTGCACTGTTATAATTCAAACCACTGATGTGCAGCACATACCACCTCCTTTGAGTTAAGGAGTCACCATCATATAAATTAGGAATCTGATTCAAGGTATATTGTCCTAAAATGGACACTATGCACATTATCTGATGTGAAATGAGGTTAGACTTCTGGCAGAAGTCTCTGAAATAGTCACGTTCACAGGGCTTATTCACTTGATGTGTTTGCTGAAGACGTTCCACAGTCGGTGTGTGCAGAGCCCCTTTTCCTGTAGGATTTCCCCGGGAGCCCTCTGGCACCTAGTAAGGTCCTCTTTCTGGGGAAGGACTTTCCCACGGTCATCGTAGGTCTCCCAGCTATGAGCTCGCTGCTGATCGGGGCCCCATGAGACACCCACTAGGGTCTACCTTTCCACAGAGGCTTTCTCGCCCCTTATCCTATTTGTCCTTAGACTATCCCTGGTCTTTACACTATGTGTCACAGTTGTCAGCCACACACTGACCTGGAAGGTTTTATTCAAGGGTTTTCCACCTTGATTGTATCACACTTTATTCCTATGGGCTTTTGGGGGCATAAACTATGATGCAACTGATCAGTGAAGGCACCAGCACATTCACTGCATTCAAAAGGTTTCCCTGTGCAAACTCGGTTATCTGCCGATGGTGCACATCAGCACCTGGCTGTCCCACTCTGGCTATGTTCCTATCTGCTAGGAGCCCACGGAGGTGTAATGTCTTAGCTGCTACAGAAGGCATGTCCACCTTATTAACAGGGTCTTTCTCCTGTGTGCTATCACCTGAATGTGATGAGCTGTGGCTCTCTGAGAAAGGATTCCCCACCGCGACCGGGCGTGCGTCTTTCTCTCTCGCATGCAACATTCCCTTATGGTAAACGAGGCATGACAGGTAGGAGAAAGCTTTTCCACAGTCAGTGCATCCGTAGGGCCTCTCTCCTGTATGAGTTCTCCGGTGGCGATTAAGGCACGACTTATCTCTAAAGGCCTTCCCACAGTCACTGCAGGTGTAGGGTTTCTCTCCTGTGTGAATTCTCCGGTGGTTAATGAGACCGGACTTGTGGGAACAGGATTTTCCGCACTCGGTACACACAAAGGGAGTCTTTCCAGTGTGAAATCGCTGATGCGATATGAGGCAGGTCTTCTGGCTAAAGCCTTTGCCACAGTCGGTGCACACATAGGGTTTCTCTCCAGTGTGAATTCGCTGATGTTTAAGGAGATTGCCCTTCTGAATGAAGCCTTTCCCACAGTCGCTGCATACATAAGGTTTCTCCCCCGTGTGTGTCCGCTGATGTACAATGAGATTGCCCTTCTGAATGAAGCCTTTCCCACACTCACTGCATATATACGGTTTCTCTCCTGTGTGAGTCTTCTGATGGGCGTTGAGCTGTGACTTCCAGCGGAACGTTTTGTCACATTCGGTGCATTCGTAAGGCTTTTCTCCCGTGTGGGTTCTCTGGTGTTCAATGAGCCTGGACTTTCTGGAAAATGCCTTGTCACACAGACTGCATCCATGGGGTTTCTCTCCTGTGTGAACTCTCTGATGATTAATGAGCCGAGACTTCTTGAAGAAGCCTTTGCCACACTCACTACATACATGGGGTTTCTCCATCTTCTGAGTTCTCTGATGCTTGATGAATTGGAAATTTGTACCCACAGAATTTCCACATTCAGGAAATTTAATTTCAATACAATACTGGTCATGCTTTGTATGAGAGAAGGATTTCATGTCTCCATTAACCTCAGCCAGGTTCTTTACTTCGTAGCTTCTGTTCTGGTTAACCGAACTTAAATTTGACTTCAGTGTTTTCCCACGTAAGCCAAAGATGTCATGACTTTGCCTTAAAGGAAAATTACTTTTATTCTGATGAACGATGTTTCCAAATGCATTATGTTCATGGCATTGTTTCATTCTCTTTGGACATCTTTGATTTTGCAAGTGCCCCTGAAGATGACCACCATCTTTCTTGATCTCTAGGAAAGAAGAGAAGAATGAATCTTTCTGTGAGCTTGATATATCAGCTTGGTATATACTAAAACTATTTCACAAGTGGCTTTGTGTAGGCTGGCTCCTTACTGACAACACTATGACCTTATTTTAAAGAGACTCCAGGGAAATATGTTTGTTATCATTTGGACAAAGGTTAGCACAATAATGTAAGCAAAGAAAAAAAGTAAGAATAGTCAGTACATAAATAATGTTAGATAACTCAAAATGAATAAACATAGATTTGGCTGCTTTCTAACTGTAACCTTACAAAGCATGCTGAGATTGTAAAATGGCTAAAACCAAGTTCCTAGAAGCACAAGGAGATAGAGGGATATTTGTTTCAAAATGTTGTGGGACACATTCATACACCCCCAAGTCCTTAGGAAACTATGACCATGTACCAAGCATTGTGCTGGTGATGAGGGCATAGAAATACATTTCTTGTTTCCACTGAGCATATATTCTAGTTTGGAAAAACTGAATAAGCAAGCAGTGACAGAGAAAGTCAAACTGTGAAAAGTGGGTTCAGGGAGCAACCGAGGGTAAGGTGGAGGGAAGTCAGAACATAATGTGGACAGAGAAGACAAGGCTCACTGCCGGTTTCAACTTGGGGGGGAATTATAAATGTGAGGAATCAGGTCTTATTCTAAAGTATTTGACCTGGGCCAATGGACAGGGGGTAGTGACTTTTAATAAGATGGGAAATATTATTGGGCTTTGGAATGTGGGGAAATCAAGTGAGCATATCAGCCTTCAGAGGGGTTTATGATGATAGCCCTGAAGAGCTATCTTCAGACATGAAGAGCTTGATTGATTATGTAAATCCTGAGAAAGGTCTCAACAAGAAATAACAATGTAGAAGTCATCAGTGTATAAAGAGCACATAAAGACTGAAAACCGGATTGGGTTCGTGCTTGGAAAAATGAGTTTGTTGAAAGATGAAGGAATGGGACCATGTTTACAATTACTGGAACATTAGGAGTTTGGGTTTTAAAATGTTTATTTATTTTTGAGAGAGAGAGAGAGCATTGGTGGGGCAGGGGAGGAGGCAGAGAGAGAGGGAGACAGAGAATCCCAAGCAGGCTCCGCGCTATAGCTGTCAGCACAAAGCCTGATGTGGGGGTCGAACTCACAAACTGTGAAATCATGACTGGAGCCATCATCAAGAGTTGAATGCTTAATGGACTGAGCCACCCAGGTGCCCCTCTTGGTTTCCATCATGTACGGGGTGCTAAAGGATCACACTTCTGATCCCAGACCAAGACTCTTGGTGGCTTTGCCTTCCATTTTTCTTAGACCTACTGTATGCATAGACACTGCTGTGACCCAGGTAAAAAGGGAGACCCTATATCCAAGGACGATACAAATCAAACAGCTCCACCATTCTACCTCAATAACTAAGCAAGTCTCCAAAAGTTACCCTGGAAATAAGTTACGTCTCCAACGATACCCCATTTATCCATGCTTATGCTCCACAAGTTCTCCTACAAATTTCTTCTAAACCTGGTCTTCATGTGGCTGGAGTCAGGCTAATTCTCTGACAGCCCCACATAGCCGTGGCCATTTCCACACTCATCCCTGCATTCTTTGCCCTTCATCATCTTTACTCCAATCCTATTTATGGCTCCCACATATCATGCTACCCTTCCCCCATCTATGTCACTGTAAGCTGTTTCCCCTTGGTTTCTAAAGTATTCCAAGCTTTACTGTTCACTGACAATTAACTTCACACAGCCCAGAACTGTAGCACAAGACACCTCATTTAAAAGCTGAACTTCCACATCTTACATGCCATTTTGTTCTCTATTTTCTTTCTTTCCTTTTTTAATGTTTATTATTTGTGAGAGAGAGAGAGAGTGCATTCATGTGGATGAGCAGGTGAGGGGCAGAGAGGGGACAGAGGATCCGAAGTGGGCCCTGCACTGACAGCAGAGAGCCCAATGCGGGGCTCGAGCTCACATACCCACAAGATCATGACCTGAGCCCAAGTCGGGCACTCAACCAACTGAGCCACCCAGGAGTCCCTGTCCTCTATTTTCTACTAAAATCTTACTCCTAGAATATATTGCTTTACTTCTCACTAAATTCAGTATCTTCCAGCACATATGAAGACTGTGGCTCAACCAATTAGGCTCAAGAGGGCCTGCTTATGGCATTATATATAGACTAGCCCAGGCCATCACCCTGAATCGAACAAAAGCACACTCTCAAAAGAAAAGAAAACCCTGCATTTAATGTATACCATCTTTCTGACTCCTACTTGGTCACAGCTCTCTCTCTTTTTTTTTTTTTTTTTAATAGTTACTTGAGAGAGAGAGAGGGAGACACAGAATCCAAAGTAGGCTCCAGGCTCTGAGCTGTCAGCACAGAGCCCGATGTGAGGCTTGAACTCACAGACCACGAGATCATGACCTGAGCAGAAGTCAGATGCTTAACCAACTGAGCCACCCAGATACCCTTGTCCAAGGCTCTTCTTTTTTTTTTTTTTTTTTTTTTTAAATCTACACCTTTATTTACTTTTCAGTTAGTTTAAATCCTTGAGGGGTACAGCATCACACGGATTCTGTGGCCAATGGCTTTAGCAGGAAGGTTGCTTCGGAATTTTGCACGAACCATGCCACTGTTTCCATGAGCACGAGTTACTTTTCCCGAGATTACTCTGGTTTTATTCGGTTTGCCACCAGGAGTCACTGTGTTGTTCTTTGCTTTGTACACATAAGCACATCTCTTGCCTAGATAGAACTCAGTTTCATCTCGGGCATAGACACCTTCAATTTTAAGAAGAGCTGTGTGCTCCCTCTGGTTCCTGAGACCCCGTTTATAGCCAGCAAAAATGGCTTTGGACCACAACCTTCCAGACATATTTGTCGTTTCAGGAGTCCTGTTCCCAGCAGGCCTCCACGGGTTGTCCAAGGCTCTTCTTAACCTGTCCACATACTATACAAGATCTACTGGATCCTGCCCTCTTTATAAACACATTCAGAAGCTGACCACCCTCACCCTCTCTGTCCAGGTATCATGGACTATAGCAACAGGTTCCCAGCTGGATTTCAGCCCTCAGCCTCAGCTCTTACCATTCTTTTCTACAAAGTAGCCAAAGCTATCGTCTTAAATATAAATGACTTTGTATTCATCTCCTACTGAAAACTCTCTAATGCTTTCTTATCTCATTATTTAAAAATATCAAGTTCTTGGGGCACCTGGGTGGCTCAGTCATTTAAGGAACAGACTCTTGATTTCGGCTCAGGTCGTGATCTCACTGCAAGTTCGAGCCCTGCACGGGCTCTGTGCCTACAGTATGCAGCCTGCTTGGGATTCTCTCTCCCTCTCTCTCTGCTCTTTCCCTGCCTGTCTTCTCTCTCTCTCTCTCAAAAAAAAAAAAAATGTTTTAAAAATATCAAGCCCTTGAAATGTCCTTCCAAGTTCATACACAAGCTGTCTAATCTAAACTCAAGGTGCGACTCCATTGCCCTTATCTCCATGTGATCATCAGCCATTGTCCCTCTGGCTCCCTTCCCTGTACTCACAATAGCTTCCCTGAAGTTCCTCAAACATGTTCCTGCCTCAGGCCTTTGAATTTGCTATGATGTCCTCTGGCAACTCAGTTCAACCCAGGCCCTCACACCCCTCATACAGCTGCTCAAAGGCTCTTACCAAAGAGTTACTCCCATCCCTGAAGACCTAAGCCTAGAGGCCCCGGCCCGACTCCCATCTCCTCTGGCAGCTCCAGGGCCTCGCATACGATTCCACTGCTGTCTCCACTGCTGTCTCACCGATCTTCCTGGACTTTTCCCCACAAGACATCACATTTATTTGCTTATTTTGCTTAACTTTCTCTTCGTACAATGTCGTCTCTGAAAATAATTTGTTTTTGCTGTTGTCGCTCACGGCTGTTGGTGCTCATATGTACTGGGCCACCAAAAATCCATTTAAGGTAATCAGAAAATCTTTCAGACGATGAACCAAGGAAAGATCCTTATGTATAGAACACATTAAAAAGACTCCTTCAAATACAGCTGACCTTGACTTTAGGAAAAGGGGAGCAAATTCTAAATAAGCAAGAGACAGCATATTATGGAGACAGTTAACCGAAGAGAAATTTCCATCCTATATAAGACTGGTAATGTGATTAGTTGGGACTTAATGTTGCTGATTATCACAAGGAAAAGGAAAGACTCACGAGAATGAATCCAGCAGCTCAAATAAGAAGACTAAAATAATGATCAGCTTGAGAAACTTAACAGAGGACCATGGAGAAAGGGAAGGGGGAAAAATAGTTACAGAGAGGGAGGAAGGCAAACCATAAGAGACTCTTAAATACAGAGAACAAACTGAGGATTGATGGGGGTGGGGGAGAGGGGAAGGTGGGTGATGGGCCTTGAGGAGGGCACTTGCTGGGATGAGCAGTGGGTGTTGTATGTAAGCCAATTTGATAATAAATTATATTTTAAAAAATAAATAAAATAAAATAATGATCAGAATGAACAATTACACAAGAAAATTAAAACAAAGCAGGCATGGGGTTGAATGATGTCATCTGGGCGGAGAACAAAGAATGAGAAATTTTAAGAAATCAAAAGGCTTTAAATAAGGGAGCTAAGGAGGTAAGGAAGTGTCTAGGGAAAAACACACTTCACCGCCCTGGTTCCCACAGAAAGCCCCCAAAACCCTTACAATTTCCTCAGTGATAAGAGCACTCAGCATCTTCTGTTCTAATGATTGGTTACTGACCTTGGTTCCTGACACAGGGCTCACAAGTCGCTTGGAATTTCCTGGGTAATAAGAATGCCTTTTGTTCTCATAAAGTGACTCTGGGTGGGCTGCTTGCTGGATGGGGGCTGGACAGCAGAAAGACGAAGCCATGATGAGAAGCTTGGAACTTTCAGCCTCACCCTCCATTCTCCAGAGGGGAAGAGACTGGAGAGAGAGTTAATGACTGGAGGTGAATGTTAGGAAGGGAAATTGACGTTATCCAAAGGGACAGGAAGGGGCACTAGTCAGAAGCCGGTACTCAAATCGAACATTTCTCTTTGGAGAGAGGCATGGAAGGTGGACTTTTGGAGCAAGAGAAGCAGAAGGCAGAGGTGATGATACAGTGCTGGGCAAAGAAGGCTGATGAGATTGGAGGATTCTAAAAAGAAACCCAGAGGAGAAAAACGGAGACCTGTATGAAATAAACACAGATTGAACTCAAACAGAGATAGGTCCTCTAAGCACCTGAAAGACAAAGGACCTTCTATGGGATATTTCCGGAGCTCTGTGACACAGGTCCTCAGTCACCCTTGCAGCTGTGATACCTCTGAGTGACTAAATGCGACTTCCTCGCCATCCTCCCTGCTGGTTCCCTCACCTGGCCAGATTCGCCGGCGGATTTCATCTTCCATCATCCACACTCCCCCTCGTTCCAGTCTGGAGAGCGCATCTGGCTTGCTGGCCACATACCCTGTTGGTGGGAAATGACAGAAGAGGCAGACTCTGTGACCTGGGCCGTAGTCTGCCACACAGGGGCCATGCAATTGCAATTTGCTGGAAGGCAAAGATAAAGGTCTCTCGGGAAAGGCACAGGACACCCTCAAATCTGGGGCCAGAGAGGGGACTGAGAATCTACACTGCAGAGCAGCACAGACACGCCAGAGCTCTCCGAAGCCCACAGAGGACACCTTCTGAGAGACACAGGGGAGTCGTCCTCACCCACGGACACCAGGTTCCTGTAGTTCTCCAGCATCACGTCCCAGTACAGGTCCTTCTGGGCGGGGGCCAGGAGCCGCCACTCCTCCCGGGAGAAGTCCACGGCCACATCCTCCAGTGTCAGCGATTCCTGTAACGACATGGTCCTGTTTAATATGACTGGTCCTCTAGTTCCTGAAATGGAGAGAATATGAAGAAGTTGTTCTGCTCATTTTCACCAACTAGGCCACATCTATACACTTAGGTCTTTGTATATATTTTTAAAATTAATTATTTTTGTCTTATTTTTAAATTTTATTTTTAAAAATGTTAATGTTTTTATATTTTTGAGAGAGAGAGACAAAGTGTGAGCGGGGGAGGGAGACAAAGAATCCAAAGCAGGCTCCAGGCTCTGTGCTGACACACAGAGCGTAATGCGGGGCTCAAGGAGTGAACTGCAATATCATGACCTAAGCCAAAGTCGGACACTTAGCTGAATGAACCACCCAGGCACCCCAGGTCTTTGGATATTTATTAAACTACATTGTTATAGAAGCCAAATACATCTACATCTATGTTCAAACCTATGTATAACAAAGTATTCAGTAAGCATGCAGTCAAGCATCATTCAACAAATCAGAAGCTTCTGTAATAAGCAGTCATTAAATTCTACTAAACTAAAAACATTTGCAATGTATATATTTGAAGCACTGGCTGTATATATACATGAAGAAGAATCCTACTTTTGCTGTGTAACTCTGTAATCACTGGAGTTTTTTTACCTTTAAATTATATCTAGGTATTTCTGTAGGATTAATTTTTAAAAGGTAATAGAAGGAGACAGCACCTGGATGGCTCAGTCACTTAAGTGGCCGACTTGATTTCGGCTCAGGTCATGATCTCACAGTTTGTGGGTTTGAGCTCTGAGTCACAGGACCTGCTGAGATTCTCTCTCTCCCACTCCCTCTGCCCCTCCCTTACTCACACACATACTCTCTCTCTCAAAATAAATAAACTTTAAAATATACTGTATCTCAATGGGGTGCCTCGATGGCTCAATCGGTTAAGCATCCAACTTCAGCTCAGGTCATGATCTCTCGGTCCATGGTTTTGAGCCCTACATCGGACTCTGACAGAGTCTGGAGCCTGCTTCAGACTCTGTGTTTCTCTCTCTCTGCCTCTCCCCTGCTCATGCTCTCTCTCTCTCAAAAATAAATAAATATTTTTAAAAATTTTTAGCAAATAAAATAAAATAAAATAGGAGACAGAAATTGGCTTTGAACATGAGTAAGGAATGTGTGCTAACATAAGGGGGAGTTTGAAAGGAAACCCCCTGGATCCCAACAACCTTACCTGACAACATTACCTTCAACTCCCTGCTGCCATATCTGAACTCAAACACCAATCAGTTCAGCCCCCTGTTCATAAGGACCTTTGAAAGTCATGTGGTCTTTCCATTTTCTTAAGTCACCTGGGTTTTATTTCCAGATTTATTTCCAGATTAACCCTAACAGCTGCAAGGCAGGGTCCATGGGTCCCCTCATTATGGTCCCAGAAAAAACTATGCCCCCTGAGGTCTCCTGATCTACTCTCAAAGAGGCCTCTGACAAACCCTCTTTTGCATTTAGGAGAAAGCTGAAGTTCAGGGCACCATATCACGTCTAGGAAGCACCCCTGAACAAAAGTCCGGATGCCTAAGTGCCATGAACTACATAGTGACATCCTTGTGGAACAAGTCTGCTTTTTCCCCAGTCATGTTCTATCCCATGATCATCGTGATTCTCCAGTTGCAAAGGCCGTCGGAGACACTGGACATAAGCTGAAGCTAACGTAGCCTGCAAGATGCTCCAGGCACTTGGGATGTTCTAACACGAGTTAGTCAGTGTGGACTCTAACAACAACATGGTCCTGAGCCTATCTGTCTTGATACTGGAGTTGGAATCTAAATCTACTTCTGCACAAATCCTATTTACTAGTTTCTACTTTTCCATTTAATTCAGTTGCATTTTAAAGTCCCCCCAAAATCAATCACAGAATGAAGAATAAAATAAAGCCACCTGGTCCTTAATCATTTTCTTCTGTTATTGGAAAACAGCCAGTAATGGTGACGCTGTGTCTTTAGTTTCTCTTTGCACCGCCCTAAATTCCTGGTTAGAAATCTTGGTCTCTGGTCAATGGTGTCCCCACAAATGACTGCACGCAGGTCCTGAGATCTGCTCCTTGCTTCGCTTGATGGATTTTGCTCCCAAAACTACAACCTGTAGGATGAAACTTAAGTTCACTTTCAGTGCACATTTCCTCTGGGCCCAGATGTTATCACTGCTACTGTCGCTCACCTAATTTCAAGGCCATCTGTCCCTTTGTTTGGAACCCCAGAGGCTACTGCACTCTGGAGCAAAGAAACCTGATTGTGAGTATGTGGGGGCTTTCTTTTAGGAAGTGAAAGCGGGGTCTGTAAAAGGAGCCATGAAAGGAGATATAACACAGTTTGACGCCCCCAACTGGAGCCTCTCACAGAGGTCAGTGTTTGGAAGGAGTCATGTGAAAGGTGAGGAGCTGGACATCTATTCCTTTAAAATCACGGGTGCTCACGGACCTGTTCAAAGTCTTTGTACATGCCTCAGTTTGAAGACAAATGTGCTCAGCAAAACATTATCTAACAAACCATTTTCATTAATGATTATGTGAAAGAAACAAAGACAAACCAATGGAAAAAAATTAAAGCATATAGAACAAGACTATTCTTTCTGGCCATATACACATTGAATGAAAGTATAAAAACATGCTTTAAACCAAGTTCAAGAAAGTCATGAGAGACTGGCCCAATCAGTGAAGCGTGTGATTCCTGATTTCAGGGTTGTGGGTTCAAGCCCCATAATGGGTGTAGAGATTACTTTAAAAAGGTAATATCTGGGGTGCCTGGGTGGTTGAGTTGGTTGGGCAGCCAACTTCGGCTCAGGTCATGATCTCACGGTTCGAGGGTTCGAGTCCCGCGTTGGGCTCTGTGCTGACAGCCAGCTCAGAGCCTGAAGCCTGTTTCAGATTCTATGTCTTCCTCTCTCTCACCCTCCCTTGCTCACACTGTCTCTCTCTCAGAAATAAATAAAACATTAACAAAAATTAAATATAAAAGGTAAAATCTCGGGGCGCCTGGGTGGCCCAGTCAGTTAAGTGTCTGACTTCAGCTCAGGTCATGATCTCAGTCTGTGAGTTTGAGTTCCTCACTGGGCTCTCAGTTGCCAGCACAGAGCCCGCTTCAGATCTTCTGTCCCCCTTTCTCTGCCCCTCCCCGCTCATGCACATGCACACTCTCTCAAAACTAAATGAACTTAAAAAAAAATTTTTTTTAATCGAAGGAAGGAAGGAGGGAAGGAAGGAAGGAAAGTAGAAAGAAAGGAAGGAAAGCCATTACCTCTGGGGAGAGAAAGGGGATGGATTAGAAGCCATCACTTAAATTGCATTTGTAGTCAGTGTATTTCTTTTTTTTTTTTTTTTAAGATTTTTAATTATTTATTTTTAAGTAATCTCTACACCCAACGTGGGGCTTAAACTCATGACCTTGAGATCAAGAGTGGCACACTCCTCTAAATGAGCCAACCAGACGCCCCATGTTCAGTTTATTTTTTAAAAAAGTACCAGTGATCAACAAAACAGCCCGCATGTACATCATGAAGGAAAATTCCCATTGAATGACAATGACAGAGAGGGAAGTTTCAAGGGCTCATACCTCCAAAGAAACATAAAAAAAAAAAAAAAGTAAGAACTGTCAGAATAAAAAACAAAACAAAACCTTTATCATAACTCTGAAAAAGTCATAGGTTTATAACAGCAGAGTGATCACTCAATCAAGAAACAGGCAACTTGCGGGGTGCCTGGGTGGCTCAGTTTGTTAAGTGTTCAACTTCAGCTCAGGTCATGATTTCACAGTTAGTGAGTTCAAGCCCTACATTGGACTCTGTGCTGATAGCTCGGAGCCTGGAGCCCACTTCAGATGCTGTGTCTCCCTCTTTCTCTGTCCCTCCCCCGCTCACACTCTGTCTCTGTCTCTAAAAATGAATTAACGTTAAAAAAAAAATCTAAATTAAAAAAAAGTACCAGTGCATACTGCGGAATTCATAAAGCCAAGTACATGCACAGGGTAGGAAACCTGCTCAGAAAAAAACAGAGAAAACCCTAAGCTGTCTCTCTACACCCCCCTGCTCGCTCAGACCCTGACAACCACCAATCTGCTTTCTGTCTTTGTGGATTTACCTATTCTGGATATTTTATATAAAGGTCACATAAACCATGTGACCTTTGTGTCTGGCTTCTTTCACTTGATATGTTTCCTGGTTGTGTGTTGTATCCCAGGATGCTCCCGGGTACTCCTTCAGTGCTTAGCCAAACTATTACAGCTATTTACAACTCTGCCTTACTGTTCATTTCCTGCTTGCATTGAGTGTAGAGATTAGTCACAGGGACAGCTTAGGGTTTTCTCAGGTTTTTTTCTCAGATAAAAATGTTCAGGAACTAGAGAGAAGTGGTGTGTGCACAATGTTATATTAAAACCCACTGAATTGTTGACTTTAAAATAGTTAATGTTGTTTTGTGAATTTCACCTCAATAAAAAAAAAATCCAATATGACCTACATATGTTCAGTAAAACAATCAAGTACCTTTTTTTTTCTATTTTTTTTTAACGTTCTACCTGTTTCTGAGAGAGAGAGCATGAGCAGGGGAGGGTCAGAGAGAGAGGGAGACACAGAATCTGAAACAGGCTCCAGGCTCTGAGTTAGCTGTCAGCACAGAGCCCAACACGGGGCTCGAACCTATGAACCGTGAGATCATGACCTGAGCCGAAGTCGGACGCTTAACCGACTGAGCCACCCAGGTGCCCCTCAAGTACCTTCTTTAAAGCCAAGAACAAGACAAGGATGAGCAATTAACACCTCATTACACTATTCTGGAAATCCTACCCAATTAATCTGATAATCAAATAAGAGAAAAAAAGAACCAAATAAGAATAATCAATATCAGAGAAGAGGAAGGATATTATTAAAAGTTCCTCCAATGTGATTAAATAAGGGTCAGAACTTCAGAGATTCGAGTGAACATATACCAAAATAAGTTTTCCATCTTACATTGTATGAACTAAAAAAATAATATTTCTGATGTGTGAAAAAA